AGTTGAGCTTCAACGAAGTCGAATTGAAAACCCAGAATTCGTGCCTTTCTTCAACTAGGGCTTCGGAGTTTTCATGAAACTCCATACACGTTCAATGTTAACGGCGTCAATTGTGAGAAACCCAACATGAATACAACTGGCAAACCAAGTAAAACACGTCAGCAAAATGAGGCCACATCACCCATCCACCAAATGACTTATAGTAGGTGAAACGTCGGCTATACCCCTGTGAGAAACATAACCTGTTACTCACAGTGAGTAATGGGGCGCGCTCATAAACTCTAGACTTCGCCAAGCTAAATTTTTGACCCGATGCATTGTAAAAAGCGGCTCAAGCAATCATGTATAACTGTTGCTTGCTCCACACTCGCTTCAACAAAAAGCACTATGTCGTCTGCGAAAAACAAATTTGGTAGCAAGGGGCCATCACGGCTTGCTCGGATGGGGTTCCATCTTTGTTTTGTAGTATTGAATATATTCTAAGAAATATAGATAGGATAGGATTATATTTTAAAACATTCAAATTAATCCAAGTTAATTCACATGAAGTTAAATAAGTGTTGCAATTTAAGTGTAATAGAAGTAGTATAATGACAAAAAAGGAAGCAATCAATCTACTCCGTTCGTCTTTATTTAGTTGACACCGTCTATCTCTCTACAACTTTCTCAATCCTCATCTTACTTGATCAATGCATCATTGTCTTACTTTCAGACGGTTTCTATAATTGCCCTGATAACATCAATTGCTACCGGTAGAAGGAAATTGTTCGCGGAGAATTAATAGTTTATTTTCCCTTTTATATATGTTCAAGGCAAATCACCTTAACGCTTTGCTTTCCGATTGTTGCTATTGGCTCTGCTCTCTTAGTAGCTTTACTAAGTTCAATTGCCATATCATGCCACTGGAGTTGGGAATGTTCAAGCTGTTTTTCAGAACTTTGAGGGGAAAACATCACTAGTATCACTCTATGCCCATGCTGTGTGATTATTGTGGATACTTACAGCATTATACATGGGAAATAAACGAAAACTTTTAAAGCTTCAGGCTCTTGCTGTGACCTCAGATTGTTCTGAAGATGATCTCAGTTGACAGATGCTCCTGTGCTGTAGACTTGTAGATTGAAAGTTCAGAAATAACTTGATTGCAATCATAGAAAATTCTGTATTCAAATTCTTGTTGAGTTGTAGATCATACCACTTTTAATACAATGGATAAACATGATCCAAAGTTCATCAAAAAAATAAAAAAAGTAGTAATATACTGTAGTAGCTTTTGTAACTTATACCCCAATTTATCCACTTCTTAGCTGGCTTTCCAGAAGCAAAGCAACTATAACCAACAGTTGATATTACACCATGCTTTTTTCTTTTTTAAATCAGCTTTATAATCAAACTTCACCATAAAGAATGCTTCTGCTGCACATATGAATATCAGAGATATCTGAACTTCAGAAGTTTTCTTCTCAGCTCCCTCCTCAAGCACTGATGCTATAAAAAACTCTTGACATTCCCTTCTTTGATCGGATTTTTGATATCTGCAACGTAATCAAACTAAAAATGTCAACTAAAAAATTTGGTTGTAATCGATAATCACAAAATTCCTGGCATAGAAAACTTCATATTCATATAACAAAAGCACGGCATAGATGTAATTTGGTTGTTTTTTATTAGCATGGTCAATTGAATGATTCTTGTTTAAGCAAAGATGTCCTATACCGAGGAGAGAAAAAAAATAAAAAAAAAAAATAAAAAAAAAAAGGTACATCAGTGTGGACAAGATCAAGAGGATACTTTCTTCTAGATGGGGGGCGGAAATGATATGCAATCCTATGTTGTTTTCCAGCTAAACAATCAACACAGGATTTAATACATGTACCGGAGACATCGGGGAGATATTGCTTCTTAGAAAGCAATTGCATGCCTTTCTCACTCATATGGCATAGTCTCTTATGCCAAAGGTTGCTGGAAGAGTCATCAGCTACATTTGCCTCGCCTATGCAAACTCTAGCTTGCATCACATACAAAGATCCTTGCTTCTTGGCTCGAGCCACAATCAGGTTTCCTTTGCACAGCTTCAATCTTCCATCACCAAAATGACCTGAGAATCCCTCATCATCAAGCAAACCAGCTATCTGGAACATGTCTGACATCTCTCAAAATTAGCTTCCAACCAGTGGAGCTCTCTAAGCACACCGTACCAATGCCAACAATCTGAGAAGATCCATCATTTCCCATTCTAACACTGCCAAAATCACCGCTCAGAGAAGTACTCTCGGTGTGAAGTGAGATGATATGAAGAACCCGAATCAATCACCCAAGTGCAATCATAACATGCAAGGTTTAAGTAACCTTGATCACCAATGAAGAGCAAATCATCATCACCAGTTACTAAAGCTGAAGTGTTCTTTTCTTCTGCTGGTTGCTCGGAGGATTCACCTTTTTCTTTTCTGTCCTTGGACTTGTCTCTTTTCATCTTTCTGCAGTACTTTTGAAAGTGATCCGGCTTGTTGCAATAGTGGCAAATGACTTTGATCTCCCCTAGACTTGTCTCTGTTATGAAAAGATCGATTTTGGTTCTTCCCCGGCTGTCATCTTGTGCAACATTAACTTCAGACTTATTAGTGAAGCCCATTTCTTTTCTTCTAGCCACTTCATTCAACAAGCTAGCTTTCACACTCCCCATTGTCAACTTGCCTTCTGGAGCTGAGTTACTAAGTGACACCACAGGGTGTCCCAACTCTCTAGTAACGAGCAAAGTAGTAGCAAGGCCTGCAGCTCATTATCTAATGACATCTTCATTGCAGACAATTGATTCACTAAAGCTTGAAAATCATTCAAGTGTACTACTATGCTATCACCATCTTTATATTCCAACTTCACAAGTTTTCTCATCAATGACGCTTTACTTAAGGCATTCTTCCTCTCATACATAGCCTCAAGTTTCTTCCACAATTTATATGCATTTGTGTCATTGGCAATGTGTTGGAGAACACTATTATCAACTAATTGTCTAATTGTTCCAACAGCTTTCCAATTCAAAATTTTCCATTCACTCTCATCTTTCGCAGAAGGTTTCAATTCATTTAAGATTGGCTCATACAAATCTTTCACATAAAGAATGTCTTCCATTTTTGTTTTCCGCACGGCATAATTACTAGAGTTCAAACAAACCATCCCGTGCACACATTTTTCATCCATTCTTTAACAACACAATCACACAACCAATTCACAGGGCAACAGAACAACCTGGCTCTGATACCACAATGTTGGGAAAGATGCACACACGATACACAAAATACAAGCGGAAGCACAATGTGATCACTTTCCCGATGTGTTGTCAAAAATGGGCAAATAACACCAATCTTAAGCAAGCAATATTTGGACAGCAATCAAGAAATGTAAAACAGCCCACAAATGCAAGAAATTAAAGCACGCAAAGTATTTACGTGGAAAACCCCAATACGGGTAAAAACCACGAGCACCATAAGTCGGCACTAAGCCCTTCCACTAATCAACAACAATAATAAGTGGGTACAAAGCACACTTGTCTTCCCTAATTAACACTAGGGGCACATACAATCATCAAGCAACAGGCTTGGCACAATATAACTGCATAAACATCACTCACAAGTGGTAAAATTACAAAATAAAGGAGTTTAGGGCTGTAGACAGAATACCAACTTAGAGAGCACGAAACTACAATCCAACAGTTGGATATGAAGGTTGGGATGGTAGGAATCCTGTGTCAAATTTGAGGTCGATCGGGCCACGTTTGACCTTTCGATCGAGCAAAACAAGCTGGCTGCTCCAAGAGAACCACCCCAACTACTACTCTCTGCCTCTCCAATGTTTGTGCGTGTGTTTTTACTTCTCTTGCTGGTTCAAGAAGCTTCTCAAACAGCTTTCCTCTTAATAAGTCAACCCCTTATGACTCCAAAAGTCTTCACATGGGTCCATATGCAAAAGACCCAAATGGAATGCCAAAAAATAACACATACAAACATTGCCCATACAAATAATGTGGGCTCTTCCTCCAAGTAGGAGGGAAATACCCAACAGTTTATCATAGAGCATGAAAAAACTAGAATGAAATTCACTGACTTGGCACCCTATATGATTATAAATTGTAATGAAGGTAGTGTGAGTAAAAATAGAAAAGGATAAGATAGAATCAAAGGTTAAAATTCACATGTTTTAACAAATGAAATCGTTGTAATTACAAAGAGTAATCCAGAAGTTTTGCAACCAAGATAAAAATTAGATTGACCGACTTGGAGAAGAGAAAGCTAGTTATAAACTTATAAATTTATCCCCTGCCTCAAGGAATGAAAACATATATGGTGTCCATTCTTTGCCTTTCCACCAGGCAATTTGTATGTCAAATAAGGGCTCTCCAGGCAATTTGTACATCAAGCTCTCGTTAAAAGAAGTATACATCCCCTAATTAATTTTTATGCTTATTTAAAAAATAAAGTTAACTAGCAAATAAACCCACTATCTTAGAGAAAGAAAACCTAATGTTGGTACGACATAAAGTAAGAGGAAAAGGTAAGGGAAAATTAAATGACCACAAACTACAGTAAAGAAGCCTCACAATAATCTGAACATAAAACCAAGAGTGAATTATGTTCAATCTCCTGAGAAATTTTAATCATTTCACGTCGTTGTTTTCTTAGAACATGAGTAAAAGAAATCGATCTTTGTATGGCAGTGAGAGAAATATCTCCAAGATTATCTTCTAGCTCTTTATATGAAAAAATAGTTGATCAGAATGCATATGGCAGACATTACATTTTCTTAGGTAATAAGGCTGGTTTTCCATAAACATAAAAAGTTATTAATCCGTCTGATAGACATTTACCAATAACTAATTATGCATGAAATCAGTATCATTACCTTCATACTTCTTATTTCTGAAATATCAGTAACATGTGTGCCACCACAAGGACATCCCAGATGTTCACCTATCTGTACAATACGAGGATTGCTACCCTGCAACAAGCAAGAGTACAGACTGTGGACATTAACAAATATTAATATCAAAGAAAAACTACACGACAAACTTATTTCATACTTGAAACTAGAAAAAAGAAGTAGATAAACAGTTGCTCTTCAAAGTCTGAGGATTTTTTTTTACCAGGGTGGGGGGGTTGAATAAAGCTGAAAATCAGCCCATTTTACACACATTAGAATCTAAAGTTCACATTTACATAGCTATAGCTGATCCATCAGAAGATTCTCAGCAACAACAACAATAATAAAGTCTTAGTTCCAAAATCATTTAGGCTTAACTAATATGAATCATCATAACTAACTGTCAGCATAATATGTAATGAAAAAAGAAAAGTGATGCAATGAAAGTGGACAAACAATGAGAAAAAAATAAATAAAATTTTGCATAAAATCTGAAAAAGTATATAAGAAAATTAGAGAAAGTTTACAAAAGGAGGCTACGGGGAGATAAAAACAAAAGGAAGACATGCGAGTAAAAACACAAAAAAGTTTGAGAAAAACCTTAACAAAGGAAATAAACAAAACTAAATGAGTTCAGATACCAGGGGAGGAAATAAAAAGTGTATATTTAAAGTCATGACATGTCCTCATTGTAGATTTTCTCCCTCCACCCCACTCTATCCAACACCATAATTTCCTCAATCACTAAAAGACTCATATCCTCAATCATCCTCTGAATTTGCTTTGGCCTTCCCCTACTGCTCACTTTACCACTCTTCAAGTTCCTTACATCTTAGATGCAAACCACCTTAGGTGATTATCCCATAACAGAACCCAATAAATAATAAAATATAAATAAATAAAAAGGTAGGACAATCTTTGGGCTAATACATGTTGTTGCCAGAATAAAGTTACAAGGAGTTAAGTTAGTTCCTAGAAAATCACTTTAGAATACAATTGGAAAGAGAAATGCAGTTTCTCGTTCTAACAGAAGCTAATCATATGATTGATGAAAGCATAAAACAATGAATTTAGCAATGGAAGATGACAACTTGACAATTTAGAAAGCCTTACTAATAATATCTAGACCTGGTTATTGACAGATTGGGACAAGGTCAATGCAGGTCAAAAGAATATTAAGTCATAAAAGGGTCACCTGAAAAAGAGTTTAAACATGTCGGGCTAAAACGGGTTGCGGGTATAGTGGGTCAATATTGCACTGGCTGGTAAAAAATGTTTCAAAATTATTGGGACATCTTATTGGCCCTATAATGACCCTGTCCATTAATCCCTTGTGCCCTTGTCTAATAAAAGCCCTCTAAATCTGACCCTAACCCTATAGTAATTGGACCTGTCCATAACCACGTCACTTAACGTCTACTAATATAAAAAAAGTCACAAATAGCTAATCAAATAGGAGTTTCTTAATGTGTGGCAATGCCCCTCAACTCTTCAAGTTTGGATATTGGTGAAAGTATATACTCTGACATTAAAAGAAACCTAAGCCCATACTACAACCACGACTACAACCAGTGGGAGCATCGGTGAAATCTGTTCACCATAACCAATAGCGGGCTTATGTGAATTAGAGCAAAGAAAGAAAAACAATGTCAAAAAGAAAAGAGTAGAGTTAGGATAAGTAAGGGAATAAGAGCAAAAAAGAGAGAGGATGGATCTTCCCTATCGAAAAACAACCCATCCATGTCATTAAGGCCATGCTATAAATCACATTGCACTGAAAATGAGCTAAGCTTCAATCCACAATGCCAAAGCCAATTGCCCACCAAGTTCATGTGCATCATAGTTTATACTCGGTAATTCTTTTCGACGTAAGGGTTCTAACATAGAACGCCTAAGATAAGTAAACAAGGAAACCATGTGAGGAAATTAATTTAATCTTAGTTCCAAGAGATTTAGGATTAATGCCTCACAAAACCAAGATAGATCATCAAAAAACCTTTAAGCGTCAAAGTCTTTCATGTAGGAAAACCAACCAAGAAAATAATAATTCACATCATCTATAAACTAACTGGACTATTCAAATTTTACATATATATAGTTGAAGTGAAAAGAGGAACAAAAAATTCCCTTGCCTAACCAGTTCATTGCACTATACACACAACCTATGTTGCAAGCTAACTGAAACTGATTGAGTAGACCATAAAAATTTCGGATCAATGGTTCTTTCTAGAACCAACACTTTTAATCCATAACCATATATACGCAATGATTAAATGAATAGTTTTAGAGATTAGAGAGGGAAGGATAAGGAGTGGTTGAGTTACTTTTCATTTGCTAATGAAATCCTTATTTTATGTCTAAATTATTTCAGGTTTTTACAGATAGAAACTGTCTATGGCAAGGCATGAACACTAACACCAGTCCTCTGATCTTAGGTTGGTAGTTACTAAGAAAATTTTTTAACCTTGGGGATGTAATCTGGTAGCTGACCACCACACATCTCAGCAGCTTCATCATAGGGCAGTACAGCAACAAAAACCTGAGTGTAAAAATATTAAAATGAATCAGAGGGTATAATCATTCACAGTATATGATAAAGGATTCAAAATACAATAGCATCAGCAAAAAAGAAAAAAATAAAATAAAATAAAGAAGCTCAAGATACCTTTTCACCTCTTGAAATTTGGACATTAGCATCCCTTTCTAACTGTTCTAGTTTATTTTGCAATTCAGTTTGTGGAATGGTCCCTTTATATTCAACAAATGGCCTGTAAGAACATATTCAACATCAACTGCAAAGTTTCTGAAAATGATACATGGCACATGTGGGTGCAGATGATACAGAAGAATCAGCTGATTCTGCACTGAACAATATAGAAAATCTCAGAATAAGAATCTTTATAAGCTGGAGCCAAAGATCTCATAGCATGAAAGGGAAAGAAATAAGAGGGATGCAAGATAACATAGTCTCCACATTGTTTTGGTGAGCTGCTATGTGACAAGCACTAGAGCAGGGATATAGTTGGAAACTAATTCAAATTACTATGATAAAACCTCGGCATTATTGTGAAAACCAAAGATTGGTGCACTAAAGTGCCTTTTGCAAATTTTACTAAGTTAGTAGTTTATAGAAATAAAACAAGTACAAGAAAAAAAAAAAAAAAAAAAAAAAAAAAGAGTTGAACAAAAATTATAATAATAAAAAAAAAATTAAGGCATGAAAATTGGACACCATTGTAGTTTTACTGTTGGATTGTACTAAACTGGGGCGACAAGAAGAATAAGCGGTCATGAATAAAAGAAAACATTGAGCATGATGTATACATTAAATTAAGCCCAAATAATCATAAAGATAAAACATGTTATGAAACACATATCACTCAACAAATATAAATGTAACAAAATTAAGTTTGAATCCATACCCATCAGGAAAGTGATAGGCTTTCCCAGGCTCTAAATGTCCCAATCCCACATTATGTATTGCTATATCTAGAACATGTCCTGCTGAATGCAGCCTGTACAAACCATGAGCAGCAAGCAAGCAAGTACAAAAAATCTAGTTAAGAAACGCCAATAATTTTCTTCAGGCACAAACTAATAGACTCTTAATCAACAATTAAGTATGAAAATGCTAAGGAACGGCCCAAAGTCCAAATAGGAGTTTTAGCAATTGATATAATCGATTGAATATCAAAAGCAAGAAGTTTCAACTCGAAAACTGTTTCCGCATCCATATACTGAGCATTATATGTCATGCTTAGAATTTTGCAAGACCACACACATGACTCTTTCTATCCAATTAGTAATCACATAGTCTAAACCTCTCATTAGTCACAACTCATAACTCATAAGGATACATGATTTAATAATATACCCTATATAGTTTTTGTGTTATTTAAGTAGATTACAACTTCTCATTAAAAAATCTAATCATAAACCTGACATTTCACGAATTCTCTATAATAATGTGATTATTAATTCTGAACAAATTTCACTTCTAAATCTAAGGACACATCATATACTACTATCATTGAACAAAAGCATAGAATTCAGATTATAAAATAAACACAACACACCTCGAATTGAGATTACGACGAGTTTCATCTACATGTAAATAAACAATCGTTCCACTCTTAATGTCCCACTCCGACTCATCATTTCCTTTCAAAGTTTCAACATGCCCATAATGATAAACCTTACAATAAAAAAAAAATTCATCATCAGCCATTTTTCTCCCAAAAAAACACAGAAATTCCAATTTTTCTCAAGTACCCAAAATATAAATTTGAGAAATTAGATGACTACTTACAATTCCATCTTTGTTTCTTACATCATCAACAACAAATTTGAAGGATGAATTGATATTGGTGATCAACCCAGTATCTGAAGGTTGCCCACCTCCTTGAGGATAAAATATAGTGGAATCCAATATCATTGCTTGTCTACCATCATCTGTCTTTTCAATTGAATATTGAGATTATAATTTCATATTAGAATGGGATAATATGTAAAAATCAAAGTGGAAATAAATGAATATTTTACGATTTTTACAAAATTATCAGTGTAATTTTATTGTATAAATTATTTACAAATGAATTTTCCTTTTTTTTTTTTTTTTTTTTACAAGAGCTATTTACAAATGATTAAAGTTATAATTTAATTTTGTAGATTAAGAAAAACCTGCAAATGGGAGAGAAATGTTGCCTCTGAATGAAGCTTCAACATGTTGTCAAAGTATTCTAATTTGGTTGCTGTTGAATGATCCATTTCTTTGGTTTTTTTTTTTTTTTTCTCTCTCTCTCTCTCTCACTTTGTGCAGTAGACGTAGACTTAGGATGGTAGAGAAGGATTCAAATATGGAGTGAGAGAGAACAAAAGCTCCATTATATATACCCAAAATTAAAAAATAAAATAAAATAAAATAAATAAATAAAAAGAGTAGGCAACTCAATTTTGACTTTTATACTCCCTCTATTTTTTTCAAGGAAAAGGCTATATGTACACTTAGGTCCTGTTCTTTTGGACTCTTTTAAAGACCTTTTTAATTCAGTTCAATTTAGCAAATTTCAGTTCTATTCAGCGAATTTCTATTTAGTATAATTCAATTCAACAAATTTCAACTCAATTAAGCAAATTTCAGTTTAATAAATTTCAGTTCAGTTTTTTTTCATTATTATTATTATTACTCCCTCCATTTAAATACTTGCTCTATTTATACTTTTTGTACTATTTATTTGTTTTATTTTGACTAATATTTGTGATTTATACATAAAATATATATATATATATATATATATATATATATATATATATATATATATATATATTTTTTTTTATATATATATATATAGTTTTGTGGGTACTTGTTGAAATCGTCTCAATAAATAGATTATTCATTTTCAACTGTTAGAATTTATACTTATTGACAATTAAAGATATTACCGATCAAAGATTAGCATCGGCATACGTGCCCAAGAAAATAGAGCAAGTTTTTTAAACGGGTTGGATTATTATTATTATAATTATTATTTATAAAAAAAAAAAAAAAAAAAAAAAAAAAAAAAAAAAAAAAAAACTGAAAAAGTCATACTACTTACAAAAAATAAGTGGGAAGCCGAGATACAATTTGGGCTCTCACTCCTCTAGCTATAGCAAATCCTATCCCAATGAACATATGAGCAACACCACGTGCCCCAATGTCTTGAGTATTCGAGAACTTCTAGACCCGCTTCAGTAACGCAACCACCTCCTTCTCTAATTCCCCAAGAGATGAGAAAGAGAAAGGAAGGAAATTGTACCCAATCGCAGCCTCATACTTAACCCGCTTACGGTGAGCCGCATCAGTCACAACCCGCCCAGGTACGAAGTCAGACAACCTAGTCTGAGTTAAAGGAGAAGACTCAGTCAAATCAACACACGCATCGCGACCACGTTCCCAAGAGTAAAGTAACACATCTGCAAGCTGAGGGCCCCGTAGTTCCCCCAGACAAACCAATGCCAACCTCCCTTCTTGCTAAAATCCTAGACCGATAGCATACATCAAGAAGGGTATCCCGAACAACATTATGGCGGTGTTTAATACCCACCATATGAGCACATGACACCGTTGTTTCAGGGTTTTTTGGTCTTGAATATAGCCGGACATTTTTGGACACTGGCAAAACAACGAATATTCCGGTTGACTGAATATTCGCCTTCGACGATCAATTTAGTGACCAGAAAGCGAAGTAATGTAAAGAGAGAAATAGAGAAAAGTTGGAGCTATTTTGTGCTCTTCAATAATATGTCTTAATCCAACCCTCAGATCATAAATGATTGGGGTATTTATAGGGGTGGGAATGTGTGCCACTTTAGGGTCATTGCCCTAAAAAAGTGGACTCTGATTGGCGGCGCAATCAGGTAAGGACATGTGTCCTTTGGGGGTGCCGTTTTGCGTCATTTTTGGGATTTGGGCCTCCTGATGTAAGGAAGTCTTTATCTCATTCAGGTGCTCTTAGGGTTGCCACATGTCATCTTCCTATAGGGACACATGTCGCCCTTTTATTGGGCCATGTGTCGCTATTGGATTGGACCACGTGTTGGGGTATTTTTTACCCTAAACATTTGCCTCTCAGAACGGGTGGCTCGTACCATATAAGCCGCCTCCTCTGATAATCACTCGTCCAAATACGTTCGAGTACTTAGGCTATCTGAGCATTTTGGTTGGAAGTGACGGACTTTAACGTCCGTTCGTCTCTTAGGAAGATCCTTTGGGCTATCTGCCTTAATCGGTCCGCCTAATTTCATTAGTGGACCTATGTCTTAAAATCAGGCGGACGGGTTATGCCGACTGGCTTTAAGCGAACACCTGTCTCTCGTATTTTCTGGGTTGACGGTTCAAATTTGCTGACGTGGCCGTTTAATTTAACGCGCCGTTAGGGCGACTGTCCGTCTTCCCGTCTTTAATGACGAAGGGGTTTTTTAACCGCTTAGGCTTCTAGGTTAAACTTTTCAAAGTAACCGTTAGAGCTTCTAGACAGGAAAAGTGGTTTTGCCATTTTTCCCTTATAAATTTTGCCTATAAATAGGACTTGTTTGATTTCATTTTGTTACTTTGGAACTTTGCGTTTTCTAGAGAGAAGTCAGAGCTTTTAAAGAGAAAGTGATTTTCTTTCCCAATCTACGAGAGCTCCGTCGCGGTCTTGAGTTTTCCGTTCGAATTTCTTTGAGTTTTCCGGCCAACCTTCAAGATCTTCAAAGACTTTCAAGTTTTTGTACCCGTACAGAGGTAACCACCTGCTTTTCTTTACTTCTTCTTTTTTCTATACTTGTTTTATGTTTTAAACACGAACAGGCACAACACTTGGCTTCGTCCATTTCTCCTCATGAGGTCGGTCGTTCGCCTGGGACTGAGGAGTCTATAGTGGACGGAGATGAGTCCTCCTCTCTATAGAGTGGGTCCATTTCTAGTGCGTACCAACTCACCCCCACCTATTCTTCTCTGTCCATGCAGTTGAACATGGCGCATACGAGACAAACGTACGAGCGAGATGTCCCTAGAAACCCTGATGGAAGTATGGTGAACCCCCTAGTCCCTTACGATCCGAGCAAAATGGACGAGGAGGACACGAACACTACTATTAGTGGTAGTGCATGCTCCGTGATAGAAGTGACGGCCTCCTTTTTTTAGCGCCAAAATCAACAAGGCACTTCTTCTTCCAAGGAGGCGTCCGGGAAAAATCCAGTACAACGCCTCTCGCATTACACCTGCTCGGTGTTGATGTCGTCCAAGCTACCATCTACTAAAGGGCATCCTTCACGCTAAGTCCGGTCGTGTGGGATCGTCCGACCAAAACCCACAACAACCCTTAATCAAAACTACCAGGTCGGCCAGGCCTAAAACTGGCATTCACATTGCTGAGCGAACCGACCTGCCCCCTCGCAGCGCTCCTCCTTCTGGAAATCAGGCGGACGCTGGAGGAAAGCAAGATAAGGGCAAGAGACCCTTGGTTCCTGAAGGCACCATTGTTATTGAAGGCGGCCAGGGCTCCAAGGGAGGGAGCTCGGCCGAAACTGCTAAATTAGACACAGTGTTGTCCTCTAAATTTTAAGGACCCGTACGCCTGTACGGTTGGCGAGGTCGCCTTGACCTTTCTACATCTAAACTTTGAAAAGTTCAAAGAGTTCCTCCACCTGGAAAAAGGCTACGAAATCGTAGCGCCCACCCACTCTTACTCAGTGGCCGCCTGAGAGAGCAATAGGCAGCGGAAGAAGTGTTTTAGTGTCTACCGCGCTGCCTTAAAAGTGGGCCTTCGCTTCCCCCTACATCCATTCGTCCAGGAACTTCTGGACGAGTATAGAATTGCAATTTTCTAGCTGGTGCCGAATAGCTGGTTAAACATTTTTTGCTATCTGGTGACGTGCCTTCGGCAAGGCTTCAAGTTAAACGTCCCAGTTTTTGTGAAATGCATTACATGGTCCGCCTGGATGTTGGAACGAATGACTGGTTTATTCTGAGCACCTAGAAAGAATATCTGGTGGTTATGAACAAACCGTCTAAGTGGTGAGACTGGAAGCATCGATTCTACCGCATCAAAATCGACGATGAAGCCTTCAATTTGTGGATGAATCGGTTCAACTCCGATCTTATCCAGCTCGGCTGTGGGCAGCACATTCCCACTAAGCCGCCCGTCCACCCTAATTACAGTTATCAACTGGACTACTTCAGAGTCAAGAAGGTAGTCAGGGATGGGAAAACGGTGGTTGTGCCGTCAAATTGGATCCCTCTGGCCGAGTGGCTTAGGAGTTCGGTGTTCATGTCGGCTTGTGGCCTATATCAGAATTACTCCCAAGGTGGAACCTTATGACTTAGTCGTTTGAATATTCCTTGTATCATGAAAATATTCTAAAACTTTCTCTTTTTTCATTCTTCAGACTTAGCTCTTGGAATGTTGGATCCTGAGCAGAAGGGCAAGGTCGACATTTCCAAGCTTGACTTGATGCGGTACAAGCTCCGCCAACAACAGTACGACCAGGCCAAGGAGGTACTGATAGAATTTTTTTTTTCTTTTTTTTTTTGTGCCGAGCTGGTATGTTGGGAAGGGTATCCCTTCCTAATTTGCTCGGACATCATTTTTTATCTTCGCTTGCCGAGCTAGTAGGTTGGGAAGGAATTCCTTCTCAATTTTGCTCAGACACTTGTTTCATTTTTTGACTTTGTCTTGTTTCTTTTAGGCGGCCACTCCTACTCCTCGGGCGAAGAGGAAGCATTCGACCTCTTCTTCTAAGGACGGCCAATCATCCAAAACTAAGAAGACAACAACCACAAGGGCTAAGTCTTCCTCCAACACGGCCAAGGTCATGCCGCAGACTGCTTCAAAGTAGTCTAAAGAAGAGCCACCCTAGCTGTCACCTAGTGGGCCGGGGTCTCCAAGCCCGTGGAACCGCAAACTAAGGCGGTCCATGATGATTCCATCCATACGGGCGATGGGGGTAAGTCGTCCCCGGCTAAAACAACCGGCAACTTGGCCTCGACTCTGCATGTTGAGGTAATTGACAAGTCTGAGTGGCAGAAGGATGCCTCTCAGTCGGCCGAAGAGCAACTCGGTCGTACTCAAGAAGAAGGGGATCAGCCACTGCCCCCTTCTTTGTTCAACCTCCCATCTCCTCCATCTTTCTCGGACGTTATGTTGAACATTCATACGCTTTTTACTTGTGTTTTCGTGAACTTGTTTAGTCAATCTAACACCCTTCCTTACTTGGCGCAGACATTGCCGAGGACTTGCAAATAAAGCCGCTTAGAAAGTCACTCACAGGCGCTGATCGGAAGGCTATTAGGGAGGCCATGCTGCGGGCCGTCCCTAAAGAGTAGCGGGACAAGTTTTATGGAATTAATGATGGCTTCCTCGGCCCCATGATAAACTGCAGCGCCGAGGTAATGTGTTTTATCATCACTCGGCTGATTTTATGTTCCAATACTCGATTTATTTTCATGTTTTGCTCTTGCTAACTCGTTTCCATCCAAATGCAGATCTTCCACAGGCTCAGTTCCTTTCTGGAATGGAAGGACAAAGAGAACGAGAATATTAAGGCGGCCTAGGCCACCATTAAACGAATAAACGATGAAAACACTAGCACACTGGCCATGCAAGAGATCCGGCACCAGGAGGCCCTTAATGCTCTTTCAGAGAAGTCGGCTCGATAGACCGAGGACATCGTCAAGATTGGCGATACTCTCAAGTGAGAGCAGCTGGCCAGGGAGGCACTTCAACTGGAGAGGGACGAGGCGGTTGTAAGCACCGCTCGGTGGAAGAAGGGCTTTGAAGCCTTTGAGAAACTAAGGGATGAGCTTGCCTCTTCTCAAGAGGCTCTTTAGACGGCCTTGACTGAGGTAGACTCCCTCAGGCTTGAGGTTAAGCGCTTGAACAAGTATATTGAGGACTTGTCTGAGCAACTGAAGACTCCTCGGCCGATTTATACTGGAGAGGTCATCCGCATTAAGCACAAGGTCGAGGAAAAGCTGAAGAGCCGCTTCTACAAAGCCTTCTCCATGATGGTCGAGGAAGGCGAGGCGGCCTACTATTAAGAGCGCTTCGCTCACCGTCTCGAGCACGTCTGCCACAAGGAAGAGGCCGAGGATGTCAGCAAGCCCCCTCCCCAGTTCGTTGAGACTTCCTCTGACTCTGAGGTCGAGGAAGATGATGATGGAGAGGAGCAGAAGCCGACCGAGGAGGAGAAGCGGCCGAGGAGGAGGAGCCTGCTAAAGCTGATGAGAAGCCGGATGAATGAAGAGCTCAGGTCTTACAGCTGCCATGATCAAGCTATTTGTACTTCAATTTTTTATTTCCTTGCTTTGAATAATTTTGTTATTGCCGCCTGTTTGAGAGGTCTTGTAATATACTCTTTTTATTTTGCCGTCTGCTTTTGAACGACTTTAATTTATGAAGTTTCTTTCTTTCATCCATACTTAGCATTTTTAGCAATTTTTCATGCCTTTATTTGCTTTGCGTCGAATAATTTTTCACTTACTAGGGGTATGCCCCTTTATTCGGCATTTTGCCTAGTCCATATTCAAATAGGTTTATTTAACTTAGTATATTTTATACCTCAAAGGTATGATGACTAGTAAGTTAATCAAATCGGATAATGAATACCCTTAGACTAGGTGGATGCCGATTTTTCCTTTGATACTATCTCTCGGACGCACTCATGAAATCTCAGGTATTATCTCAAGCTGATTATTTCTAAGGGTTTGTAAGGCTTGAAAGCTTAGATATGTCCTTGCCCTTAGGGTAAAAATACCTTAGGAAATTTTGGACTACCTTTTGTTTCAACCGTCCGACCTGTTATATGGCCGGATGGAGTGAATAACATTTTAGCAATTGTGGACGAGCTGCCTTGCTGGGGAATGCCCTTGCTAGGCATTTTGCTCGGCCGCTTAAAGATGCATGTTTAAGGGTCGAGCTGCTATGTTACAAGCAACCTCGTTTCTGTTTTTAGACAGCATTTGGCTTATCATTAGTAAACATACATAAGATAAATGGCAAAAAATTTAATAATAATGTTTTACTTTTTCATTAATTTTGTCAAAATTACATTGTTTTTGGCCGTTCGGCTTTAATTACACTGCTCGACCGTTTAGACCTAGTTGTGTATACAACTTTTGGCAAAGTACAAAAAAATTTATACATAATATTTTTTCAGATTGTCCGTATTCCACGTTCGGGGAATAGAACGGCCATCTAAGGCTACAAGACGGTAGGTACCATCTTGTACTTCTTCCTTAATTCGATAGGGCCATTCCCAGTTTGGGGTTAGCGTGCTATCCTCTTTTGCTCGGCCTACCGCTTCCATTTTTCTTAGAACCAAGTCTCCCATCTTAAGCGGCCGCTTTGACACTTTGCGATTATATGCCCTTGTCATCTTTTGACGATAAATTTCGTGTCTGAGCGCCGCATTTCCCCTAGCTTCTAGAAGGAATTCTAGGGCAGTCTTCATGGCCTCCCAATTGCTGATTTATCATATAACATCACTTGTAGAGTGGGATCATACATTTCAATTGGGAGCACGGCCTCAGCACCATAGACTAGAAAAAGTGGGGTCTTCCCTGTTGAACTCTTTGTTGTCGTTCGAATAGACCATAACACATTGACCAACTCATCAGCCCATAGGTAGCCTGCTTTCTCAAGCTTCCGCTTGATACCAGTGGAGATCAATTTGTTGTATGCTTCAACATGGCCATTGGCCTTCGGGCATCCGACCGAGGCAAAGCAGTGTGCTATGCCCTGGTCACTCAGCCAATCCCTGAGATGGCCAGTCTCAAATTGCGGTCCATTATCGAACACCATTGGTTGCGACACACCAAAACGTGTAATTATGTTTTTCCAGATGAAGGCATATACCCATCTTTCCATTTGATTCCTTAGATCGGACAGCCTCGGCTTCTACCCACTTCGTGAAGTAGTCAACTACTACTAACACGTACCGCCTCTATCCGGATGCAGGGGTATACGGCCCCAAGATGTCCATTCCCCATTTTACAAAGGGAAGTGGAATACTTATGGCAGACAAGATGTTTGCCGGGCGGTGAATAAGGGTTGCAAATCTCTGGCATTTATTAGATTTTTTCACCATTTCCATGGCGTCCGAATTCATGCTCGACCAGTAGAACCCCAGATGGGTAACTTTCTCAGCTAAGGCTCGTCTGCCTATGTGTGATCCGCAATGCCCCTGGTGGAGGTCGTTCAGCACCTCATGCCCCCTCTCGAGCGTAACACATTTCAAGCAGGGATTTACAAATGATCTTTGAACAAGTCCTCTCCCTTCATCTCAAACAATGCCGCCTTTTTCTTCATCAGCCAATTCTCTCCTTTCCGGAAGAACTCCATCCTTGAGATAGGAGATTAAACCGTCCATCCATGTGGAGCTCTTCTCAATGATTTGTACGAGCTCGGCATCAATGCTCCGTTTTTCCTTAACTTCCCAGAACACAGATCTTGGAGTATCACATGATGCCGAGGAGGCTAGCTTGGAGAGGGCGTCCGCCTGATGATTCTCGGACTCAGGGACTTGTTGCAGCGTGAAATGCTCTAGGCTCTCGGCTTCATCCTTCACCATTTGTAAATAATTCATCATTGCCGGCTCCCTAGCCTCGTAGTCACCATTCACTTGGCTGACTATCAGCTGAGAGCCCGAACAGGCATCAATTTTTGTTGCCCAAGCCGCCATACACATTCTAAGGCCGACCAGAAGGGATTCATACTCGGCCTCGTTGTTAAAGGCTTGAAACTGAAATCTCAAAGCATACTCAAACTTATCTCCTTCGGGAGATAAATATATGATACCAGCGCCGCACCCGGTCGCTATTGCACTTCCATCCACAAAAACCTTCCAGATCTGATCCCCTGCCGGCTATAGATCCGACTGTGTCATTTCAGCCAAGAAATATGCAAAGGCTTGGACCTTGATTGCTTTTTTGGGTTCAAGTATGATATCAAATCCTCTTAACTCTAAAGCCCATTTAAGCATTCGGCCACTGACCTCCAAAGTCGTGAACGACTTCTTCAATTATTGGTCCGTGTAGACCACAATCGAGTGAGAAAGAAAGTATGGCCTTAGCTTTTTTAATGCCAAATCCATGTATAGCTTCTCATCTTTGAGTGGAATGACGAGCCGAGGAAGGGTATGAAAATGATTTTTCAACTGTACGAAGGCTTCCTCGGCCTCCTCTGTCAACTCGAACATTGCTTTCTTCTTGATAGTCTGGAAAAATTAGCGGCACTTATCCCGTGACCTTGACAGAAATCGCCGGAGTGCGACTAAGCAGCCGGTCAATCTTTGGACTTCTTTTATGGTCCTGGGCAATTTCATGTCTAAGACCTTCTGGATCTTTTCAGGATTGGCCTCAATGCCGCACTGATCAATTAAAAATCCAAGAAATTTGTCGGACTCAAAACTAAAGACACACTTCTTTGGATTTAACATCATCTCATGCCGCCTAAGTTTGGTAAATGTTTCTTAGAGGTCTTTCAGATGATTGAGTGGCCTCTTTGATTTAACAATCATATCATTAATATAAGCCTCCATGTTCCAGCCGATCTGATCTCTGAAGGCCGTATTCACAAGTCTCTGAAATGTGGCAGGGGCGTTCTTCAGGTTGAACGGCATGACTTTGTAGCAGTATAGCCCCTACTTGGTCACAAATGCTGTTTTTTATTGATCTTCCTCCCACAAAGGGATTTAATGGAATTCGGAGTATGCGTCCATAAAGCTCATCAGGGCATGTCCGGCCGTTGAATCAACCAGACGGTCAATTTTAGGCAAGGGAAAGCTATCCTTAGGGCATGCCTTGTTGAGGTCAGTGTAATCCACGCACATCCTCCAAGTTCCATTTGGCTTCTTGACAAGAACTACATTGGCAACCCAGTCTGGGTAGTAACATTGCCAGTAACAATGCCGAATGAAACCGGTGTTCAGCAGCTTTTTAACTTCGGCTGCGGCCATTTGATTCCTCTCATCTCCATGATTCCTCTTTTCTTAATGAACGGGCCTTACGGCCGGATTCACAACAAAGCTTATGAACTGCTAAGTCTGGGCTGATACCCGGCATTTCATGAACTTCAAATGCAAATACATCTCTGAATTCTCTTAACATGTTCACCAAGTCATCTCCAAGCAAGCCCATGGCCATAGTGCCCACTTTGGCCATCCGACCAGGCTGGTCTGGGTCAAGCATTATGTCCGTATGATCAGCGGCCCGCTGTGGCCTCAACTTTTCTAGCCGACTGACGGTCAGAATTTTGCTCGAACACTTTTCCATGTCCGTGTGCTGTTGGCTTCACGACCAGCTAATTGCATTCTTTTGCCATCTTCCCGTTTCCCTGAATGGAACCTATCTTCCCATCTGACCGCTTAAACTTTATCAGCATCAAATAAGGGACGATTACTGCCTTTGCTGATGTCAAAGTTGGGCGGCTGATGATAACATGATAGCCGGTGAGCTCCTTAACAACTAGGAAGCGAACAACCATGTCCCTTCCTTCTCCCTTCTGCCCAAATTGGACGAGCAAGTGTATCCATCCGACTAGGTGGATAATGCTCCCCCCCGAACTGAAACAACAAGTGGGAGATATCCTTTAGGGCATCCTCTGGAAACTTCAGATTCTTCAAACAAGCTAGACTGATTATGTCGGACGAGCTGCCTGTGTATATTAGCTCTCGTCCGACCTTCAAATTGGCAACTTTCAAGATGAACACCATGGGATCATTACGGGGGGCCTTGATTCTACCTCAGTCTGCCTCACAAACCGTCACTTCTAGAAAGGGCTCGGCCTTTATCCCTTTGGTGTGCATCACATTTTCAAAATTCCAAGCATCCTGCTTGATTCCCTTCATGGTCAGGCCGCCTGCAGCAAAACCACCTGATATAGAGGCCACAAACCCTGAATCCGTGCTATTTCCATCATCATCCTTTTCTTTTTCTTTCTTCTTCTCGGATTTGTTGTCTGTCCGAGAGTATATGAACTTGGACTTCAGAACGTACGAGTTGAGCATGGCCTTCTCGGCCAGCTTATCCAGCAACCTCTTCAAATTGTTGCAGTCGTTCGTGTCATGCCCCACATCCTTGTGGTAATGGCAGTACTTGTTATTGTTTCTATACTAGGTCGACCCTCTCAAAGGCTGAGGCTTCTCAAACTCGAACTTATCTTTGATTTCCATCAAAATTGAATAATAATCTTTGTTGTGCTTATACTCCGACTCGTACGTCTTGGCTTTCTTTGAATTTTTCTGTTGGCAATCGGCCACCCAGACTTCTTTTCATTTGTTGTTTCCTTCCTTCTTTTTGCCGGTCGAGTCTTGCTGAGAAGATTGTTTCTTCTCGGCCCCCTTGGCCAGCTCTTCTTATTTTGTAAGAGAACAAAAATCAGTTGCCTCAATATATGATTCGGCCTCCCGTAGAACACCTGCGTAAGTCTGAATCTTTTTCCTAATCAGATCAAATTTGAAACCATTGTGCTTAACCCTCGAAGGAATTCCGAGTAGGCCTTTTCATCCGACAGATTCTAAATTTGAGCATTCTCCAAGTTGAACCTTTGAACGTACGAGCGTCTTTCTTTCCTTGGACGATGGTTGCCAAGTTAAGACTAGTCTTCCGGGGTGGAATATTGTAGGAGAAATTTCCAACAAATAATAAGCTGAGAGTTGGGAAGCAATTGATGCATCCGACCGACAGACTATTGAATCAGTCTTGTGCCACACCCTTGAGGGTGGCCGGGAAGCATTTACACCGGGTGACATCATCCGCACGTTGCAAGTACATCAAATTTCTATACGAGGTAACATGCTCCTTCGGGTTGCCCATACCATCATAGGCACCCACAAGTACGCTCTTCACTTTAGCTGGATGAGGAGAGCTGAGAATTTCTTGAGAAAACGGAGGCGGCTTGTCACCAAGATTCAACAAGCACATTTTCCAATCACTGGATTGCGGTTGTGCGGCCGGTCCACCCATTTAAGCTGCCTGGTCGTACGGCTGGCCATACTGTCCGTACTGCCCACAGATAGGGGGAGTAGGCGGCAAAATTGCACCATAATTCTGGGGCATCTAAAACTAAAGTGGCTGAGTTAAAGGAATTGGAGTTGGAGTGTGGTGAGCTTGACTCCTACTGGTCCTATCCGAGCTGGTATGCTAGGAGAGAGTGTGGCTAGAGAAATCATCTGTCATGGTGGGAGAGGAGGCAGTGTAAGAGTAGTGTGCCTGCTCACGTCGCTTGTGCCGGAGATAGTCTCTAGCATCCTTCCAGCGCTGGGACAATTTGTTCGGCTACCTCTGAGGCTGCTTGGTCCGCCCCCCAGCCGACTGTGTTTTCTCAAGTAGTCTGGACCAGTTCATCCGGGGCACCCTTGGCGACCTTGCATGTTGTCTGAATGGGGTATTCCCAACATCCTCAGTATTGGCCATCTTGGCCTGAGGTTTCTTACGGAAACCCTCTCCTTCTCTTCTGGACGACTTTCTAGAAGAAGAGGGAATCTTACCCTCAAGCTCCTTCTAAAGCTTTTGCAAGGCGACCTTCAATGAAGCAGCCGTGACCGGGGGATCCTCCGCCTCATTGGATGAAGCGTGAGAGAATCGCTAGTGTTGATTGTTACGATGATGTTCTCTACGTGCCTGTCCTCACCAGGACCAGGTGTCTGACCATCTTTACCCATTTTAGACGTGTATCCCCACAGACAGCGCCTAATGTTTTGGAGTTATTTAGAATTCCTCGGGACACAGGTCTTGAATATAGTCGGACGGTCTTGGACACCTGTAAAACAACGAATATTCCGGTTGACGAAATATTCGCCTCCAACGATCAAGTTAGTGACCGGAAAGCGAAGTAATGTAGAGAGAGAAAGTAGAGAGAAGTTGAAACTATTTTGTGCTCTTGAATGATATGTCTTAATCCACCCCTCCCATCATAAATGATTGGGGTATTTAATTTATAGGACATGTGTCGCCCTTTTATTGGGCCGTGTGTCGCTATGGGATTGGACCACGTGTAGGGGTATTTTTTACCCTAAACAACCGCATGATCCCGAAAAATATAAACAACCGCATGATCCCGAAAAATATCCCCGACGAATACCCTACAACAAGTAGAGCACGGTGCCGAAACATTATTATTATTATTATTATTATTATTATTATAAATTAATATTTTTAAATTGTTATTATTGTTACATTAGTAATAACTATTATTAATAATTATTATGAATATTAGATTAATAAACAATATTAATATATAATTACTATAATAATAATTATTATTATATTTATATTATTAATAAATATTAATTAACACATATATTTATTACTAATATTTTATTACTATATAAATTAGTATTATTATTATTAAATTAGTAATTATTATGATAAATAATATATTACTAATTATTATTATTATGTATTATAAGTTTATTAATTATTATCATTATTATATTTATATATATTATTATACGGTGCTTTTTTTGTGTGGCTGGCCACACCGTGTGGCAAGGGTTACTTATTCAAGGGTTACTTGGTCATTCAATGGTTACTTATTATCTGGAGTTACTTAGTCGATTAGCGCATTTTTGCTGGGGTTACTTATAGAGGTTACTTATTCGGAGGTTACTCAGTCAGTCAAGAGTTACTTATTCTGGAGTAACTCAATCGGTTAGCGCGTTTTCACTGGGGTTACTTATTCAGGGGTTACTGATTTAGGGGTTACTCAGTCGTCAAGGGTTACTTATTCTGGGGTTACTAAGTCGTTTAGCGCGTTTTCGATGTGAGAGTAATCCCTAATCGACCGAGTAACCCCTGACCGACCGAGTAACCCCTGAATATTAAGTAACCCTTGACCGACCGAGTCACCTCAGAATAAGTAACCTTTAAATAAGTAACCCCTGCCACACAGTTTGACCAACCACATGGTGTGGCCAACCACATATAAAAAGTTATGTTATTACTGTTAGTATTATGTATTATTATATTTATTAATAAGTGTAATTATAAATACATTAATAAAAATATTAATTAATATTATTAATAATAATATATTATTATTATTATATTTACTATTAATAGTTAATATTAAATATAATGTTATTAATCATTATTAATAAACACTACTAAAATCATTAATTTAAAAAAAAAAAAAACAAACAAAAAACAATACAAAAAAACTAGCTGCTCCTCCCCTTTTTTCTCTCTAGCCCGTTAAAATGCTCTTTTCATGTGATTTCAAGCCTTAGCCGCCTATAACAAAGTAATAATGACATGTTATGAGAAAGAATGAGTTGATTTGATAAGAAATGTAGGAAATAGGCATCCTAGTAGTCGTATATGCCTTATTTGGGCCATTTTGGATCAAAATGCGTCCTAAAACCGTTAAAATGCTCTTTTCATGTGATTTCAAACCTTGGTCGCCTATAACTAAGTAATAATGACATGTTATGAGAAAGTATGAGTTGATTTGATAAGAAATGTAGGAAATAGGCATCATAGTAGTCATATAGGCCTTATTTGGGCCATTTTGGATCAAAATGCGTCCTAAAACCCTTGAATTGCTCTTTTCATGTGATTTCAAGCCTTAGCCGCCTATAACTAAGTAATATTGACATGTTATGAGAAAGAATGAGCTGATTTGATAAGAAATGTAGGAAATAGGCATCCTAGTAGTCATATAGGCCTTATTTGGGTCATTTTGGATCAAAAATGCGTCCTAAAACACTTAAATTGCTCTTTTCATGAAATTTCAAGCCTTAGCCGTCTATAACTAAGCATATTGACATGTTATGAGAAAAAATGAGTTCATTTGATAAGAAATGTAGAAAATAAGCGAAGTAGTAGTCATATAAGCCTAAGTAATAAATTTTTGCCTAAGTGAACTTGTAAATGTATTCTACATGCATAACTGAAGTAATTAATTCTAACATAATTTTTGTTTATTCCAAATTTTGCAAGGTACAAAAGGGAGGTCCGTTGACAAGTTAGGAACTTAATGAAGTTCGAGACATGTTGGCGTCTTTCATCACCTTTAATTTGTAAATGTCATTTCTATTGGAATTTGTATTTTGTTAACTATTTAACTACATTATTAATTAGTATTGTTTGTGAATATGACACTTCTTTTTTTTGAGGAATTGTAAATATGACCCTTCATTGTATTGCATTTGGGATTATTAATTAATATCTATGTATTGTTGTTATTATTTCAATTTAGAAATTATTATTATTATTATTTTTAATATAATAATAATAATAATAATTATAATTATTATTTTTATTATAATATATTATAATAATGGTAGAATTAATGCAGGATGTACATGTTTTATTATTATTATTATTAGTATTAATATTATTATGTATTGCCAAAAAAAACAATTGAAGGCACCGGTTAAGGCTTGAAACGGTGCCAATTATATGTTATAAAAAAAAGGCGCCAAATACTTTTAACACCGGTTAACTGGTGCCATAGAGTGTAATTCGCACAGGTTAACCGGTGCGAAATATAGGAATTGGCACCGGTTTTGAACCGGTGCGAAATCTTCAGGTTTTTGGCATCCCTCAAATCTGGACCGGTTCAAAACTGGTGCTAAATAGGGGGTTTGAACCGGTGCTCATTATCATTTTTCGCCTAGTGAGGGTTCTTAAAAAAAATAAGTATTTATGAATTATAGGTCGGAAATAATTAAATTTCTCCGGAAATTTGGCTATTTTCGACCCTTTTCCTTTAGTTTCTTTATTTTTTGTTATCAAATTTAATAAAAATACACTCTTTGAAGGTATTAAGTACCCCTATGGTGTTCCTAAAAAAAGAAAGTGGGTTTAAGTGTAATAAGTGCCCTTATGGTGGGCTTTGTTTCAGTTTTGTTTTTGTTTTTAAGTGTAGTTTGATACAAGTTGTTTCATGTATGGGTAAAGATAGGTACGAGATCGATAAAGAGGTTAATTCTTCAATTACAATCAGACGAAAATTTTCTTCACGACTACAACAGATCAGTAGACCCCCTTGTCGAAAAAGGCTATAAAACGTAGCGATATGAAAGAGGATATGAAGAACGTATGATTTGCAACAACGATTATAGCTTTGCTGAAAGAATGTTTTTTTTTTTTTAATTCAATTGTCATGTATTTATTAGATTATCTAAACCTTTTTGTAGATGTCGTATGATCTTTTATTTATGAATCAATCTTCAATAAAAAAATGAACATTATTACTACTAATAATAAAAATAATAGTTAATATATATATTTTAATATAAATCTTCCTTTTAATTAACCAAAATTATGATGCCTTGTTTTTTGTAAAAATAAAATCAACCATGACTAAAATTACCTTTAGGGTTCTTTTCTTTCTTTGGATATTCAAATTGAAAAGATAACTTAAACAATGTAGTAGATCGATTCAAATTTACATTTAAACTCAATCAATTAATAGATTTCAGTAAATTACTAGGTACTCTAATATGATATTTCCACCAATATAATGCAATCAAGAAAGACGCCCGAAATCAAAATTCCTCATAATCAATAATGAACACAACAAAATCACCACATTCTAATTAAAACCATCACAAATGATAACACATTTGTGCATTGCGATCATTTGTACATTCCGATAACACTAATAATCATGTATATATACATTGCTTAAACATCACGACCCCTTATACTTCCTCGAGATTAATTTTGCATATTGGGGGAGTGCACGCAAAAAATTGCTAAAGTTCCACTATTCATGAGAGATATTTGCCATGATATGTAAAGTTAGAAAACAAAATTTAGTCTTGTTTGGTTGACAACTTCAAATGGAAAAAGTGTAAATTCATGGGATTTGATAAATTGAGAAGTTTAGTTGACACGTAAAAGCAAAAATGGGAGAAGAGAAAATTAATAGGAATTTCAACTTCTCACAAAACAAGGGAAGTAAATTACCTAACCCCCCCGGTAAATCAAAATTCATGGGAGTTTTGAATTCCTAAATTATCATTCAAACAAGTTTATGAAATTCCTAGGAATTTTATTAGGGAAATAACTTCCCATGAAATGCAATTTCCTATAGAAATTTAATTCCCATGTCAACCAAACAAGGTCTGAGAAGAATTTATAGAGATATAACTTTCTAGTCAGTTGCCTCTTCGTTTTGAACCTTGCTATTGCATACATTATACATCCAACGAGAAAACAAAAAGGATAATAAAGAGAAAATACAAGTTTATCATCTTGATAAACATTAGTTATTTATCAAATGACAAACTTGTAAAAAAAGGGCTAAAATTCCACCATTCAAGGGTAAAATCACTAAAGCCATTTGCGATTTTACCTAATTTTGCCCTATAATATGCCAATTTTGGATGTTGTTTATCAAGATGATTAAAAGGGGCTTTCTCATAAATTAGGAGATGATAGAATGTTTAGTCATTTCTATCTGTATTAAGTTGTCACACTAGTATTTCGAATTACATTATCAATGTGACAATTATTATAGAATGGAACATAGTTACATAGATATCGGTTTTTCACTATCTTAAATAATGTGTAACTCTGTGTGTTGGGCAATCTTCAAATCAAACACGGGGTTTTTGGCCTCTCACAATATTTTCAAGTTTTTCTGCTGATGCATGCTCGGTGATTTTACCATAACTCAAGCACGAGTTTTTGCCTCTTTGTCCTTTTACTGTTTTCCAATATCCTTAAGCTTTTCCGCTGGATCCAAACAGACGCATCTTCTCCACAACAACAGCTTTCATTGCATCCTTTGCAGAAGCCAATACATTTACAAGATCTTTTCCAGGATTGGTTAATGAATCCATGTATGCCTTCCTTACTTCAGTATTCACATTGAACTTTCGCACACCAAAATCTATGCAGCTCTGCTCATACCATAAATGTTTTTGAAAGTGAGAGAAAAGACGACATTCTTCAATTTACATTTTATCATATCCAGACTATAAATCAATATGTTAACAATTTTATGAATATCCGAGTGGAAGTCTTTAGCAAACTCAGTTCAATTATATGACAAAGTTTAACAAACAAGTATACTCATCGTCTTCTCATTGGTATGTTTGGTTCGATAATAAACTTTTTTTTCCCACCCAACCGAAAGCACTAGTATGCTTTACTTGGAAAAGTTTCAACCTTCATATTCTTTTTTTCGGTTAAGGGAAAGAAGTATTTCCAACCCTGCAAAAATTTTCTTTGAACCAAGAAATAGTACTCTTCAGTCTTCACTATACAGAGTAAACAGACAAGAAATGGGAAATATTTATTTTCCTAGAAGATGATTTTCCTCCCAACCAAACAGTCTTAGCTACAGATTTAATCTTTTCTCTTAGCAGGTTTGACAAATTATAGTTGATTTCAAACCATACAGTACACAAATTGAATTTAAGTTCGAATCTAAATCAGCACAGGCCTACTGCTCTCTCAACTCTTCAAAGGAAAGATGATAAAGTATAATGAGTAAGAAAAGAAATGAACAAGAAAGTAAGAAAAGCAGCTGTTGTCAATCTTGTCATTGTCCTGAAGCAATATCAGTCGATGTAACTCACGATGTGTGTGCATGTAATTTACCAGACTTCGGGCAGATATCATAGTAAATTCACACAACAACTACTAGCTACTAGAGTTGTCAAAGGCTGACCTGACCCAAAAATTTACCCGAACTCGATTATTAACCAACACGTGTAAATCGGAAAAAAAAATGGTGACCCAAACCCGATATGACCCGACCTGAAACCAACCCTAGACCCGAGTTAACCCGAGTATTTGAGACCAACCCGAACATGAACCGACCTGGAGATGACCCGACCTAAATATAACCTGTAAATTATTGACCTGAACCGAACCCGACCTAAACCGAGATAGGCCCAAACCCGTCTTAATCCCTCAAAACCTGAATTTAGCCCGACCTGTTTCTAACCCGACTTGAATTCAACCCGACCTGTTACTAACCCGATCCGAATTTAACTCAACCTGTAACTAACCCAACCCGAAATTTAACCCGATCTATTACTAACCCAACGCAAAATCAACACGACTTGTTATTAACCTGACTCAAATTTACCCCGAATTGTTCTCGACCCATTTCGAACTCAACCTAACCTGTTATTGACCTGACCCGATTTCAAATCACCTTAAATTCAATTTAGACCACCTTATTAATATATAGTTATGTAGATACGTTGTCACTTGTGTAGTTGTGTGCTTGTGCAAACGAGTTAATATGTAAGTTCAATAGTCAATTGTTCAATCCATACGACTCCTTACATAGACTAATAATTACAGTTTGCTCATTTCTAATTGTTAGAATATATTTATTATATATTATCTAATTATTGTATGCATCTTTATTGTTGTAGATATTAACTAGCTAAATAAAAATATATACAATAATTAGAGAATATATGCTAAATATATTCTAAGCTACTCGTAAAGTCGTAACTAAGTAAGGCTAAAAAATGTAATAAATGAAGAAATTGATAATGATTAAACGTAAACGTCAATACATGAGTTGTTAACAAACCGACCCGAAAAATGTACCCGAACCCGATATGACCCAACCTGAAATCAACCCGAGACCCAAATTAACCCAATATTTGAAACCGGAACCCAAACACGACTCGACTTGGAATGACCAGACCTGATTAGAACCCGCAAATTATTGACTTGAACTGAACCTGACTTGAACCGAACCTGACTCAAACCCGAGAATAACCCTAACTCGTTTTAACCCGTTAAAACTCGAATTAAACCCGACCTATTATTCACCCGACCCGAATGTAACCCGACCTATTATTCACCCGACCCGAATGTAACCCGACTTGTTATTGACCCAACTTAAACCCGACCCAAACCCGATAATATGTATGACCCGACGTGACTTGACTCAATAATGACCCAACCCGAACCCGACCGTATAGGTTACGATATTAACCCGAATTGACCCGACCCGAGTTGACCCGACCCAGACTAACCCAACCTGTTTACCCGAATTGACTCATCTACTAGCTACACAATATCAATGCTGCATGATTCAAGAAGAGATTACCTTGACAAGGTCCTTGGGTACACCAGAAGCTCCATGAAGGACCAGAACCACACCTTTTTTGGACGCCAAAACATGCAAGTCCTGCCAAAAGATGAGAAAATAAGGCTCTGGATCAAAGATATGTATGATAATTCTACGCCTAAAGAATATGATCAACATTTATTTCAACATTAGTGATCAGCCTCAATGCCTTAAATGAAGTTCCACCATCAGTATGTAGAGTTGCAGTTGTATACATTAAGCCTTAAATTTGTGACTTGTGATAACAGAAATGATGTTTCAAAATTACACTTGATCTAGAATTAAAGAACCATCAGCCATTTGAGAATAAAAATAAGTGCAAATAATTTGATTATCCACTGTACTTCAGTCAGTCATCATCCGTAGTGTAATGAATCTTAGTTCCACCAGAAAAGAACAAAGTCTGAAGGCACTAATACTCAATAGATAAAGTAGGGTCGGGAGCCATATAAGGCACTTTTATCCCATGTATGCAAACACTGTTGTTTGCTAGCAGAAAGGCAGATACAGTCAGCTAATTGCAAAAGTTAATTAAGTATGGCTGGCATAAGGTGGTAGATAGCAAGGGGGGGCACAATGTATTGTGGCACGAACAACGTTTTTCGCAATTGAGGGCAATTTGATAAAGAGAGAAATGAGGGGATCATTCATGACCTAGTAAACAAGGTAGTTTCTTTGCCGAAGTAGCCTTTATATGGTCTTACGCTCAAAAAGTATTTTTTGGTATGTTCATATCAGGTGAAAAAAACACCAAGTCTTGTGTGTGGCCACTTTATATGAGTAACTCTTATTATCCTTTCATATGAGTAACCTCACTATGCATAAAGATAACATTATTTTGTCCACATGAGAATTCCCGATTCATTATACGAATAATATCAAATAAGTAACCCATTTGTTCATTCAAGTAACTCTCTTCTTTTGTTTTAATAATAATTAAAAAAATAAAAATTGAAAAATAAAACTCCACTTGTTTAGAAGAGTAACCCAATTTTTTTTTATTGAAGTAATTTCCATCCATAAGGGTAATTAAACATTTGATCATCGCTTTAACCCTTATTACTCATTTAATTTCCTTATATGTGAAGTGGCCAAACTATCAATTGATGGTTTGGCTAGCCACATATAAGAATTTGTGGAGAACCATATTAAACTTCTCTCTATTCTCTTATTCTTTTTTTGTTCTTTGTTACATATTCTTCGATGAAAGATTTATAAAAGAACGAAACACCCTACCTTAAGTAAATCAAGCCTCAGATTTGGGCCATTCGCAGGGTATTTCCCATGGACATTGCCAATGCACACTGCCAGAGCATCAATACCAGTTTTGTCAATGAACTCTTCTGCCTGAAATATAAAAGACACGCCTTTGGTGAAGTGGCCAGAAAGACAGTGGACAAAAAGATAAAAGAGTGGAAATACATAGTAGAAAACTAGAAATCGAACCTGATTAATGTCAGTAAGCCTTGCTTCATACTCTTCAACAGTCAAGTCATCTTCAGTCCCTGATAATCTGCCTAATTCAGCTTCAACACAGATGTTTTTCTGATGAGCCAAATCGACAATGTATTTCGTATACAATATATTTTCCTCGAATAGAAGATGTGAGCCATCCACCATTACTGAATCAAATCCCTGGCATTATTTCCTCAGACATTAATAGACAATTCATTAAAAAAATCTACTCCACAATGCATTTAGAATGTTAAGGCTTGGAAGAAACTTTTCACCCAAAAAGAAAAAAGAAAAAAAAAAAACCCCTTAAATTAGGGCTAGATTGTCTTTGATTTTTGTTCTTTGTTTTCTGTTGTTGTTTTAAACCTAAAAACAAAAATCAAGAAGCTACAAAAACTGGTTTGAACTTTTTTGTTGTCAATTTTAAAAATATGATGATTCTATTAAATTTGACTGTGCATTCTAATCACTTGATTTTTACTTATCTGAACTTATCTGATCTTATCTGAACTTATCTTAACTTATTAGCTCTTATTAGAACTTATTTTAGTTATAAATTAAACTTGGGTAGCCCTGATTAACCCTTATCACAACTTATCTGAACTTATCTTATCTGAACTTATTAACCCTTATCTGAACTTATTAACCCTGAAATAAGTGGAAATAAGGTGAACAAAACAGGGCCAAAATCTTTATTCTTTTACTTAAAATACATTATATGAAGTATTGACTTTCATGTCTTCAAAAAAAAAAAAAAAGTATTGACTTTCAAAATTAAAAAAATAAAAACAAAAAAAAAACTAAAAACCACAGTGATGCCAAACGTAGCCTTAATAGTTTGACAGTTGAAAGAAACTCACCAACTCTAGCATTTCAATTAATTCTGGCTTGGAAGTTCCATGGTCAAAATGAACAGTAATTGGAACCTGTTATACAAATTCCACAGGGAGTTAAGTACTGCCCAAAAGCAGAATACTAATCTTGAGCATAATGTTCCACTTCAAAATACTAATCTTGAGCATAATGTTCTTATTGAATTTTTGCATGTTACTTCATAAATTACTGTTCTCTTCTAAAATGCTGAAAAGTGGAGAGCATTATTGTGAAAAATAAAGAAGCATATGTGAAATAGTTCATAAGCATATTGAGAAACAGTGTCTCATGGGCATAACAAACACACACTAGCCTCGTGTCTCACATCGCTGCTCCCAAAAATTACTACACCTTAGAACACCTTGCACTTGGTGAAAAAGCAATTATCATAAATAGTAACACAATAATACGAAGTAAGTGCTCTTTCTCTCTCTATTAGCAGGACACAAGATACGCGTATGACTGAGGATAGTGGTTCATTGAACTAGCTACCCACACAAATGGTATCATCAATTCTGAAACCTTGTTCTTTTTATAAAACGTAGAATTAAATAATGGAAGATAATTTGACAGAAGAGAATTATTAGATATTTAAGAAAGGATTTAGGGAAATTCTCAATGGTAGCTATATAAAATTGCACATTCTCATTGGTACAATTTTTTTTTCAAATTTCTCTCAAATAACCTTGTTCTCTCACTTTGTTTCACCATCGGCCTAGGATCCTGTATGAAAGACTACTTACACTGGCTTTCTCAGCAGCTGACAGACAACAAGCAACCAAAGTAATTCCTCCCTGCTTCAAGGCACCAGGATGAATCTTTCAAACAAACAAAAAAAGAAGTCAATAACTGGATATCGCTGAACCATAATAGAGCGATGAGTACTTGCAAATAATAGTCAATTTCATTGGCAAGATATACTGATGCAACATAGAATCTAAAATTACATGACTAATAATATGGGGTGGTGGTTGTGGTGTTGGTTATACACTTATACAATTACATGTCAGAAGTCTCCGCATTCATGTAATTATCTGTACAACTTGTTATGTATGCGTGCTTTCTCTTCTTGAGATATCATCAATACATCTTCATTTTTCTATTGTACCATTGATTGTGAACATCATCAATTAGTGCCTTCTATGCTGAGTGAATAATACAGGCATAATCGTGAAGATATTCCATCATCCAAAATTTCCCAAACAATTAACGTTAAAGAGTAAAAGTGCCAAATTCCTTTGTTCAAAGTAGTATTCTGCATAGCATGTTTGTTAATCTATGCTAACAAATGGGAAAGGTGATCGTGTGTATCAATGTATGACTGTATGTAGGCATACATTAGTGCAACTAAACAAAACTAACTACATATGTCTTTATTCAGTTTACATGCCAACCAGGATGAAAGATCACTCAGAGAACACCCCTAAAAATAACCACCAGCACAAGGCCACAAACCAAATCAGCTATCGAGATTCATGAATTAAAGAATCTGCTTAGGAGAATGCTGTGGCATAGCCAAAACAAGCTTATATTTTTTGCATACCCAAAACAGTAGGTAGGATGACGGCATTTGTTAAAATAATATATTCCAAAAAAGACAAGCCAGCTTACAGTGCAAGAAGAGTTGATTAGTATAACCATTAGAAAGACACAAACAACATTTATTCAGACGATCAATCTGGAGTTCATTTATCATAACTGTTGAAACCCTATGAACAAGACATGCAAAATGGAAATGAAAAAAGAAAACAAATGACAAGATTATGGCAACTCTATATAGAGAATTGGAAGAACTAAAAGGAACCCCAATCATACTCTGTCCATTATAAACAATCAACAAAAGAAATTTGAGTCTTCTTGCCTCCTATGAAATGGGTTCTTTCAGAGCATAAAACTTGAATAATATCACATCTGGCTCTGACTAATAAATCTAAGACTAGAGCATTACGTAATTTGGACAAAGTAAACAAGACATATGAAGGAATGCACATAGACTGCTTGTCTACCTAAGGCTTAGCCTTTATTTCTGATCTCTACCATCCACCTTACTGTGAAAAAAATTAATTTTAAAAAAGAAACTAATTTAATGATATGTGACGCAGAAAACAACGCATCATACCAGGACTCCAATGGCAGGTTTTTCCCTGGTGCTGTTTGTAATTATGGTAATTTAAGCATGTTGATTCAAAACATCCAAAAAAAAAGTGTATATGAACAAACTTTTAAGCATAATGAAATGAATATAACATATGATTTTTAACAGAAATGTACAAATAAACTGAATATATTTAATGGTATCCTAGAAAAGGAGAGCTCTGTCATGGGTTCAGATAGAGAAAACCTAGAAATGATCCTCGCATATTATCCATTTTCTAAGAGTTCAATTATAGCTATCTTTTGTCAAAAAAAAATTATAGCTATCTAAGTGTATCCAATTCAACTACTATGGTAACTAAGAATTATGGGCCCACGTTTATTCAATTCAATCTGCTGAATCCATTAAGATTGTTCCACTGAGGTCATGTTTTATATAACTTTTTAAACTTAAATGTTTATTCTGGGATATATTTCCTTCTGAATTATTTGATAATTTGGTGAGTTGAAGTATTGTCAGTGTAATTGTCATCTTTCTGAATAATGACTTCTAACCTGTAAAATAGCAGGACTGCATTCTTCTTCAGCAGCAGCTACAACAGAAGCAATCCCTTCCAAATTGTAAACATTGAAGGCTCCAACAGCATAACCACCTTTTTCGGCATTCTTCGAAACAAAATTAAGTTAGTTAGAATTGAATAAACCCTTTAATGATTGAATCTAAAAGAAAATGTATGAATTCTGACAAGCAAAAGTTCTTTGGTTGATATAATTTTCGCAGGACGAGCCCAAGATTGTACAACTTCAGCAAGAGCTTTATGGTCACCAACATTGCCTGTGTTTTATTGAAGTAATAGTCAGCATAAGAGGTCCAGAATATGTTAACAAATATAGAGCACAAGTCTTAATTTCACGGAGTTGGTGTAAAACCCAGCAAGCTGCAAGAGGGAGAAATTGCAACAAATATTGCACGGACCAAACATGAAAATGCAAAAACGCCCCTTACCTGGAAAAACTATGTATGGTACTCCTGGGTGTCTACTCTCACCACCAAGCTGCCATAAGGGAACACCGGCCAAGGCTTGTCCAGCTACTTTAGCCAGTCGGGTATCAAGAGCTTTGGTAGCAATATCCGATGAAGTGATTCCACCCTGAAAAAAGCAACAAATCTGCTTTATGAACTCTGTAGGCACAGTCATCTAAATTGATGCAACTACCTTAGATTGAACTGCCTATAAATACAATTCCCTTAGAAAGCTAATAGGATTATTGTAAGACCTGATTCAGAATTTCAGATAGAAAGATATATGAACAAAAACAGGAACACTCTTCCATTCAATTAAATAACAAGGAGAGCCACACCCCCTCCCCTCCCCAAAAAAATTAAAAAAAAATAAAAATTTAATCATGCATTCCAGCTTCAGTTCATTAGATGGATCATAAAACTTCATTTACAGTTTCACTGCCCCTTCACAAATTCTTGAAATTACGTCAAGGTTCAATACAAAGTCACTTGACCTAATTTTAACTGCTGGATCGTGTAATAATTTACAGAGCATTATTTTGTTGCTAAAAACCTGAAATGAGATGCTTAAACAGTAACAATCATTAATACTGACACTTCCCAGTTCGTTTTAAGAGCTTTAACCAGCTGAATATGCCAACCTGACACAATGTAATGGACTAGACCCAACTGAAGTATGAATTTGAGATTATGACCTTTATCAGCTGAGGTTTATTTAACTTTTACAGAGCACAAGGGAGGGAAATGTAAAATGCAATTATTCTACAAACCTGCCAAGCACAAGAAGTTAATATCAACAAAAGTACCTTAGCAAGAATATAACGAGGTCTTGTACTAATGAGCCTAACAATTTCCACCAAGGCAGAGCTTACTTTGAAATTGATTTCCAGGCTTTCAGAAGGGGCTGAAAAAAGAAAGAAATGAAATGTAAAGGAGATATTCATTTTCCCTCCATTTTAAATCAAATCCTTCCAACGTTGGAAAGGTTTGAAAAGAAACATGGAAGCTCTATCTCGAGTCTCCATTCCGCTCACCTTCCACAAATGATAACCAAACAAAGTGTAATGGTTTTCAGCAATTGTGTTTTACGATTGGAACAATAGGAATTAAGCACAAATAAATTTGTTTTATCCTTCTTGTATCAACAAAGGCATCACAGTTATGTAACTCAATAATGCTAAGAATTTAATATATTGACAATTATAACAACCAAGACTGCAACAACCCTGATACTGTAACCAACAGGCATTCCTTGGAGAAATTTAACCGCTTTGAGAGAAAGCAAATATGGTGTAAGAAAAACAAGATTCTTATTGAAATCAGAATATTCCAGGACATTAATCAAAATCAGCATGGCACGCCATATGTTAAGCTTGGAAAACAGAATGACTTGAGGAATTGTTAAATGAAGACTTTACAAGAGGTAAAGACCAAAAAATGTCATACAGCCTACAGATACAAACATGATACTCATGCAAGTGCAAATGACATGAACATGTACAAAAACATAAATTGAAGGGAAAGAAATCCCCCCAGCCACCAGTTGGTCCGTATAACTAAGAACAACAGAACAGGTCATCAGAAAATAAGAAAGCAGAAGGTTCAAGACAACTAACTTCTTCCAGAGATAAGATCTCGACTGGTCATAATTACTGTGTCCATGCCGTTCTTAAGATATATATCAGCCAATTCGGCAGCCTCATTGATTTCTTTTGCTCTTTCTTCTGGCGACTTCATTGCAACCTTGTCCACCGGTATCTGGGGAAAACAAGGATCACAATCAAATCTCTTGTCAAAGTATAAGATACAAAAACTCACACAGAAAGGTATAATAGTCATGCAACACATAAATTTCAAATCTTCCTATCTCTTAATTTGTTTTCCTCCTTGGAAAGAGGATTTGACAAGAACTTTCATGCTTCGGTATGTGAATTAAACAATATGAATTACCTCAATCCATCTTAATGCATGTCCAAGCTGAACTTTTAGTTCCTCAACCTGCATACCATGAAGATTTCAAATAAATAGGCCTCAGCAATAAAGCGAACAATTCATTGATATTAAGGAACAACAGAACAGAGCAGCAGGAGTAGTAAGCTTTAAATGGTTATCACCTGTCTTGTAGTTTTTGGAACATAAGATCCGACAATAATAAGACCGCCGGTGGTTTCCTTATGAATTCCTAAATCCTTTGGAGAAATTGGAGGTCTTGAAGTTATTCCTATTCTAGCAGAAACAAAACTAGCAGCAGTGCGGCATAAATAACGCTTCCCCTTCAGCTCTGCCTGGAAAGAACACAACCACAAAGGAGGAAAAGTGTTTCATAAAGACTATTTGCATTACTTAACCAGATAAAATCAGAGGCAACACTGAGTAAAATGGGAATACAAATTTACCAGTATCATCCCAGCAGCAAACACAGCCATATCTCTTTCGCTAGCTGCATTAATTATGCATGTTGACCCCTGTTACACCCAGGTATAGCACAAGTTTTAAAATCCCACTAGATGTTACCTACAACAGAATTATGGGAACCACACTGATGCTTTAATGCTCTTTTGTGAACATACCAACACAATTGGAATAGACAGAAAATAACTCTCTCCATCCCAATCTGAATGACACGCCCAGCTATGCACAATATTTCATGCATTTCCAAGGTAATAAATGTGAGCAACACCTCTGAAAAGTAAAGGCCTATCTCAAACAAATAATCATTACCTTCTCCAAACTGCATAGATGCTCACAAACAGCATTAGGACCACCTTTGCGCAACAGATCGATGGAAACAGAAACCACATTACTAGCTGCTATACGCCCTTCTGTTTTCTCCTCAACCCACTATTTCACAGAAACCAAGATATAAGGATAATTTCTTTATAGACAGAACTCATTAAGAGTGAGACGTGGTCATGAAGTCAAACCTGTCGCAGATTAGAAGATTTATAGCCAAAAGCGGAATCTTTGGCGAACTCTGTGTCTCCAGCAGGAACAAGCCTAAATAAGATATTCAAGTATAAAATGGCAGAAAAGTCCATCAACATATCAACAGTAACCTAAGTAAATGCTTACCGGTCAGCTTCTGCAACATAATGTACGTCTCCTATAGTGAAGCGACCTCCTTGAAGAAAGAATGGGCAAATGATCCATGCATCAATATCCCCCAAGACCGAAATAACAGCATCAGCTTCCTGATAATCCAACAAACATCACACCAACAGAATAAAAAATATATATCTAAAGGAAATAAATCGTGTATATGCATGAAGAGCTTTACCTGGGGAAAGTGACCCCTCAAAGTTGAATCACCTCTTAATACCACTGTGAACTCAATATCAGCTGATTTAGCTGCAGTCTGAAGATTGCGGCAGATTTCAGCCACCAGAGCACTAGCCTGTGTAAAGTCATAATTCAAAAACACATAAAATCAACGAAGTTAGTCATAATAGAAGCATGCATCCATGGAGAACACATTGTTCTCAAAAGTATAATTCCTCTACAATACCTTGTTAGAACTAAGAGCCCTTGAGTTTGTCAATATAAAAAAGCACTTGGGATTTTTTCTGAATTGCTCAACAAGTTTATCAATACTCCTGCAAGTGAAACAGAAGCATTGACACCAGCAATTATCTCTAGCAAAATAAGCAGTACACTATGGATATTTATTGCAGCAACTAACTTGATACAAACTCATTAAGTAACCTGTTGTACTCTTTTTACAAGTCAAGCAAAAAATTTTACCCTATATTTGACTTTTCAGAAGATATATGTCTTCCAACAAAAGACATGAGTATAGATATAGGTCGCTTACCATTCTGTTAGAACTTCAATATCATGAACGGTTTGTGTTCCTGTTGGATCATCATCGAGAACGACCAAAGGCTTCCTATTGTTCTCGCATAGCTTGATTATGTCACTGGTAAGATCCACAGGCCACTCGGGCGGAAGAGATTTCATCACATGTTCTTTACTAAGGACTGGGAGCTTTCCCTCAACTTTGACTCCAGTCAGAGACTCATAAAACTAAAAACAGATGAAAAAAGTCAGTGTTAAAAGATTCCAATCAAACTTAATGTGAAAGTTCGTATACCTATTCACACTAATCAGTAAAGATAATTACAATGGCCTCATATCAACTTCTTTCCAACAAAAATTTCCTTAAGGTTTAATATTACCTATTGGTCCAATCAAACATGACTTCATAACAAAAAGAGTTTTACATTATAATAGTGTCAAAGGAACACATCAATACATCATACATACCTTGACAACAGCAGCATCATCAAGGGCACCCCAGCCAGCAGCAGAACCTGCCAGCCAGAACAATTAAAAATTGCTTGCATGCAAGGAAAACGTTAAGAGTTAATAAAAACTCTGACTAGCAAGCAAGACTCAACTCTTTACAAATAAAATAATCAGCTATATTAACCAGCTCTGACAAATTGGATGTTGCATGTTAACCCAGCTTTTTAGCTGTCTCCTCCATGGAATAGTCAAAACTAATCAGGTAAATGTGCCTCAGACCCATTTCATTAAACACCAACAAAGTTACATTCCAAGTCTGTGCAACAGAAAAGCTGTACTTGGTTTCTAGATTGCTTATTAATGCAAGAACTGAATTGGAATGCAGTACATACTGTTGTCATATACAACAACAGCAACAACAACAACAACAACAACAACAGCAACAACCTAGCCTTAGTCCCAAAATGGTTTGGGGTCGGCTAACATGAATCATCATAACGAACTGTCCAAAAAGGAAAAGAGCATAGCAAAATTATCGATTGAATAAATTGGAAAAAAATGTGTACAATGATGTCATATAGAGAGATAAAAATCCAGTATACATACCTGCTAAAAATAATTGGTGTGCTGTGACGGCTACATGAAGTGGAATTTTCCGAGATGAGCATTCATGAGAAACAATTCCCTGAAATAAATAATGATAACTATATTATAACAAACTTACATTTGAAGGCATATAAATTGGTAGTGTGTAAGTGACTTTAGCTAACCAGGTCTTTGACAAATATGTTAAGTGCAGAATAAGGAGTAAAATCATTGTCCACCATGTGTGGACCTCGGTTTTCTAACATCCTGCAAAAGGAAGCAGGTAAGCATAATGATAAAATTGATAACCATGGCATTAACAGTGAACTGAATGGTCTTTAGCAACATGAATATTTTGACGAATAAGGAATCCAGTTGTGCAACAAGACCAGAATGAGGAGTGTAAGCCTCTAACAGATTTATACGCGTACATATGTATATCATCTATCTCACTCATAATGGAAATTTTTGTAAAAATATATTACTATCTTTAAAACACACTATACATATAACTGAACCAAAATCATGGAATTGAATTTCAAGATCTAACTTCATTCCAAACCCACACCAGCTTCCCGAGCAAATCCCACATAATATAAAAATCACAATAAAATATTAGTTATCTTATGGGAAGATGAAGAGTTTGGTATGTTGCTGAAGCTTGAAGGCCATACAATAAACGCAACTGAATCTTCTGTGGTAGGATGACTGGAAATAAAATGTAATAAATTGCTCTCAATTGCAAAGAGCTCCAACAAAATTATTATCAATATTAAGTTGTCTTCTAAGAAAAGGCAAAAAGATTTTAGTGTTTGATTAAATTGAAAATGAAGTAAAACCGACAAGGCATCACTATAACCTTCCACATCCTAATTTATTCTGCAATAAACACCTTTGATGTAATCACATTGAGAGGTTCAGATTCAACTACCAACTTTCCTTATCAATCACACCAAGAAATAACATTTACAATAGCTACTGCCTAGTATCCTGTCAAAATTTTTAAAAAATAATAAGATAAAAATAAGACTTATATTGAGCAAAGAAAGAGTACATAGAGTACTTCCTTATGACCTCCAAAACCACTGAATCTGATCATAAATATTGTCACAAGTCAAGAAAGGGCCTTTTATCATTCGAGTATTTCAAATTTGGACAGTTCTTTATGACAATTCATGTTAGCCAACCTCAAATCAATTTGGGACTAAGGCTTTGTTGTTGTTGTTGTTGTTGAGTGTTTCATATTGTACAGATTAAAATTGTATAAACATCAAGAGAGGGAAATTAAGTAAAAAAACTTAAACAAACTGTAAAATTTAACATAAAGTTAGACTTTTTGCAATACAGTACAACTATCAACCATGATGGGCTCACATGATCTGGATCAAGAATATTTCCTAAGATAGTGAAATATAACACGATGGCTACTACTGTTTTATTCATGAAATAGAAACCCTAGTATGCTGAAGATTTACGTACTCCAGAATAGTATTACAAACAAGCATACCTTTTGATTTTTTTTACATAAAAAAGAGTACCGAAGAAATAACAGACAAAGCACTTGCGAACATCAATCAAAGAAATGAAAGAAGCTTTTTAACAAAATGCACTACATGTTACATAGGGCAAAAACCCAATATCAAATTTGCAATTGCAAATGTCAATAATTACCAGGATGTTCCGCTGGTGGTGGTCATAATTTGAAATAAGTTTCTTGTTGGCAGACCCAAGCGAGCACCAAAGGCTAATGCCTCAGCTGCAGATGCTATATGAACTCCAGCAAGTAGTTGATTAACCATCTTAACACAGCTACATATCATAAAAAGGGTTCGTCACATAATGCTTGGTCTCCCTCCATTATTTCAGAAATTAATCAGAGATAAAGTGTAGATGAAATGACTATAACCGTAAAATTTCATCATTGCAATGATAAGTTTCAATAGATGCAGTAGCCAGTTACATTTTTCCTTCTTCCATTCAGATTAAATGTAGAGAAAAGTGTAGATGAAATGACACTTTACAGTCTAATGGTCCAGTACAGATGGGGAAATGAAAACAAACCAACCAAAATGATTTTCTTCTTGTTTAGGATTAGTATGACTGAACTTTGAGTGAAAAATGCATTCAACATTACTTTCCAAATGAAAAGTAGAAAATATAAGCAAAAACATGACGGATCACATTATTTTATATGAAAAGATAACATGATTTTATGCTGTCAGCCTGTCACCACCAGCAATTAGCAAAATAACACAGTCAGATAAGTACATATTCTCCAAAAAAAAATGAAAAGTTCCAAAGCTACCTTCCAGCTCCACATCCTCCTTTAATGATGTATAGCTTCTCACTCAATGCTATGAACAAGACATGCAAGTTCCAATCAGTTTGATCATTATATAGCTGAAGAAAAAATATTATGAACAGATGGATTAGTGCCCATTACCAGAAAGCACTGAAATACACTGTTCCAGAGCTTCATCAGTTCCAGATGCCATTACCTGATAAATATGTACTGCAATTGTCAGTTATAGTAGTCACCAAATGATCTAACAGACTAAAAGCGCAGAAAAGTGCCATATATTCATGACTATTAACTTATAGTTCAAGGCCAAATAAATGAGATCTTTGCAACTAATGCAAAAGTGCTTCACCACCAATAACACCATGGATGCTATATTTAAATGGATTCTGAAATTATACAATTTCTTGTTCTTTATGCATGTATTTTGTCCTGATATAAAATTGTGGAGGTGCCTTTTTTTTTCATGCACAGTGATTGATTTGCAAAGAATCAAAGATCTTAATTATTCATTTTATATGACTTCACGCAGCTAAAAAAAATAGTTACGATTTTTTAATCCAGTAAATGGAGCGTCAAGCCGAAAGTTATTCACACACCGTAAGAGTTCCTGAGGATGCTCTTTTCACACCACCAGAAACAGGGGCATCCACCAGTTTTAAGTTCTTGCCTGCACTCAATCAACATAGGGGATTAATTTAACAGGACAGCTGGTCACAAATTTGACGATGTACAGGAGTTCAAAGAAAGTGCAACATGACATATTATGAATACCATACATTATAGAGACTTTCCCACATCTATGATCTTCGATGTAGGGGAAGCAGAACATGAAGTAATGATTTCAACAAGATAAAAAGGTAACACAATCTACACGCTATCACCACATAGAGGTAAGGGCCATTTTAGGGTAAAGTTCAGAACTCAAATTGGACAACCTTCCTTTGTTCGAAGTGTCAATGTGATAACTGATGGTTTCTTCATAACAAAAAGTGATAGCTCAGACTATCAGTTAACTAGGTCCTACCATGGCCCATTAGCTTGTTTCGATTCCCACAATTTCGTGTGGTTATTAGATCGTCAACTAATCACTCCTCCAAGGTAAGTCCAATGGTGGCACGAGAGTCCACGTAGATGGTATATGAACAATATGCACAGTGCATGTCATAAAAGCATTAGCATGGGCGCACAGAGCTTCATGCCCCAGATGCAAAATGTAATTCCAGGTTTTGCTTAGAAAGGATATTGAGAGACAATTATGTTAACTCTAAATAATAAGAAGATGAAAGGCATTACAAAATCTAAGTAGGGAGATAGAGGCAAATGGAAATCCAGAAGGCCTCTTGCAGAAGGGAAGCGGCAGCAGGCCATGTGCCAGTGTGGGAGGGAGAAAGTTCTTTATGAAGAAAGAAAAACACCATTACGGCTGTTACCATGATTGATCTGCCACTAAATAGAATAAATTCTTCCACTCACCTGCTCCATCAGACATGTGGGTGAAGAAGAGACAAGATGAATCATATAAAGGCCAGAATTACACTTCTTTCCACCTCTTCCTTCTCTCATAACACATTCCCCACCCACCCAAATCCCCCCCCCACCCCACTTTCTACCCTCAAAGTTGTAATTTCACATTCATGCTGCCAGCCTGCCCTTGTAGCCTTGTAGGACCTAACCGAGTATCTTTACATGCTGTGACGCAGTAGAGGTGAACTATAGTTATACAACTTCCATCCATATTAAAAATCAGATTTTTACAAACTGTGTAGCTTGTTTGATGGAATTCCCATGCTAGAAGATTTAACAAATGAAGATATTTTATCCGTTACTCAAAAATTTTGGAACATCTAAAAGATGCATGTTGAGGATGGAGAGCTGAAGATACATGAAGTAATATTCTGTGAAATGTGAATCCATCTATAATAAATTTCAATGTCATTCAGCTTAGACTACTGCACACTTTCAGCTTAAACTTACAATCGAATATTAGTTTACATGGGTAGATGGCTGTAAGAAGATTACAATATTACTTATATAGGGAAACGTTAAGACAACATCTTAATATAGGGAACTAGACAGGTGTTCTAATAATACATATATGCAACATCCAGAACAACTTCACAGTATTTTGAGTTTTTGAGTTAGACAACTCTCTTTTCCAAGAGAAAAATAAAAAATTAGGGAGATATAAACAATAATATACATACCTTTTAAACGTTGATCCAGTTGGTTCACGTATGCTGGAGAAACCGTGGATGACAAAATAATAGTTGCTCCCGCTGAAAGAGCTGAAATACATGAGCAAAAATCAGAAAACATCATGTTAATACTGTCTCCATAACATGCTTTCATGACAATTTTGTGGTGTGTCAGTATGTGTTGCTGGAGAGAAACATCCAGGTCATTGCACGTGTTCATTTGTGTTCTAATTTATTGTAGGCCAAAAAGGCTTATCCAGCATATGGACTAAGGCGGCGGCGGCTTTCAAGGATATTACCCAATTGGGGAGATTCAGAGAAACTGGGTTGACCTGTAATTTACTATACCCTTTGTTTGTACTCCTTTTTCTGAGCAGTTACACATAATATAATCTCCATGGAGAACTAAATAAAGAAATCCACAAGCCACTTAAATAACAAAGAAAAGATTCTGATGTTTCTTCTAACATAAAATTTTCAATGTCTTTCATATCCAGCAAATATAAAAAAAAAATAAAAATAATAAAAATAAAAAATAAAAAAAATAATAAAAAAAAATATTCTTTTAAGCTTTGTATAAACCAATGCAGTAATATTAATCCTCCAGGCAGACAAGCTGCTGGCACATACCCTGGACTGCGCCTAGATCTCCAAAAAGGACACTTTCTGCTTGAGCTTCATTCGTAACCATTATTACAAGCACATCAGCACCTGAAGATAAACATTCAGATTGGATCAAGATGGCATAAAATATTCCATTTGACAACTGCCCAAAACGAAGCTTTGTAACTCTGCTATATGACTCTCAAATAACATTTGATATATTGAGAAAAATCCAATACTTAAACATAGATAAACTTGACATGTCTGGATCAGATGCTTCCAATGAAAAAATGTCTTTTAAAATTTCAAGTAATACAGTGCTGCAATAAGGCAGTTAATTTACAAGTTAAGGTCATCTTAATAAATTTTATACATGTTTTATAGTTTGTAACATGACAACTGTAGAAAAATACAGAGACAAGATGAGGCAGGAGATGAACAAGCCCTTTTGCAACCTCATCGGATCCACCTGGGGTTATAGGGTAAAGCCCTACTGTTATATTGTGTGCGATTAAATTCAGGAAACAACAAAGTATCAAACCATCACGGATGCATAATATTAACAATACAACCAGGAAAACCAACAGTCCTACACTGATTTCTTCCACACGACATGCAAATCTAGCATCCAAAGTCCCAACAGTGGGGGGTGAAAAAAAATAATATACCTTCCGCTACTTCTAGAGGAGAGTTACCCACTAATCCACCCGCTTCAATAAATCGACAAAGTGTTGGTTTATACACCTGCCATGCATTATATAATATTATATATTATAATAACAGTAAAGTGTTTTTCTTGAATGCAACATACAAACCATTTATAAGCAGACATAACTAAATTACATAGGAGCATCATCAGATGAGTAGAAGATTTTGACAGCAACAATAACCAGTCTGCTGAAGACCAATAAAAAAAAAATAAAAAAAAAAAAAGAAAGAAAGAGGGGGAGGGGGGGGGACAACAAGAGGAAAAGACTACTGTGCTGCTATAATATATTTGTGGGTTTTATATCCTTTAGTGCCGTCATCAGCACAGTTAAAGATGGCATCAATAAGCAACCTTAGTCAAGAAAAATTACATCATTTGTCTATATTTAAGAACTAGAGTTTTTCCAGGGTGTAAAAACGTCATTCGCTAAATTACCTAAATTAAACTGAGATATAGTTAATTAAATCCTGGTTTGTCCATTCACCGTCAACATGTAAACTGGCATTACTTATTTTTCAACGTGACTCAAAGTAGCCATTTAAAAAATAAATTAATTTTCTGTTGTACATAGCTCCAGGCCCTCTAAGAATTCTCCCAACTGTTTTGTCAGGAAGAAGCCTGACGTGGAGGCATGGAGCCTTCCAAGCAAACAGAACTAAGGCAACCCTAGAAGACAGCCAATTATGTGGACTGATCACCAGCAAATGATGATGCAAATGCCAGGATTCTTTCAGGCCCACCTCCTCAGTTTACTTTTGGAACCATAAAGAAAATTGTTCTCAAACTCCTTCAATACTTGAGTTCTTTATATCTAACTACAATAAAATAGATTACATTCATTATATTCAAATTCATTCAGGGAAAAGAAAAAGACCAAGAAGATAGATAGCTAAAGTCGATGATACATTAAAAGAAGCACAAGTTGAACAGAAGCTTTTTTAGAGGCAATAAGTTAGTAAAATTAACATTAGGTGTTGCCTTTGCTGGAGCTTCTCCAGATCATACTACATTCTGCCTGGACACTTTCTATGTCATTTTTGGAAAGGTTTGTGTGAGTATCCAGTGACAAGCTTTGGGTTAGTAACAACAGATAGGTATAGATATTTAGACAAGAAGTTCCCTAATGGGTTAGATCAATATTTCACCCTTACAATATCCTTTAGTACCTTCACAGAAAACAGATCTCTGTGGAAAGATATTTGGCCTAACAGCATAGCCCAAACCAAAGGTAGGATAAGGATAGCAACAGCAGGAACTTTTAAAAAAACAGAATATTATAGATAGATTTAAAAAATTAATAACAATAATATATGGAAACCATGGTCTCTTCTAGCCCATTTAAGATAAAAAGGAAATGCAGAAAGAGAAAGTGGAATTACATCATAGCCAACGACAGTCAAATTTGACTTCAGTAGGTGAGTTGCCATGCCGAACCCCATTGCTCCAAGACCAATGAAACCAACTCGGTTTACCAATTTTGACCTAGACTCCAGCTCTCTTGCTAGTTCCAAAGGGTTGTATGTTTCTTCATTGGCAGCTTCGTCGAGTTTGATTCCTAGAACTTTCTCCCATACCTATATTAAAAAATGGCAAGCACCAGTTGTGTAACAACCACATTGTATGGACACTGCTAGCTATAGGCTGAAGTCCAGCGCAACAGGAGCAGCATCTTTTAAATAGATATTACAAAGCCAGAATCACCTTAAACAATGGTGCATTGCCTTCCTCTCCGCCCACATGAGAACACCCTTTGAAAGCAACCAAAAACAACCAACAAAGAATAAAATTTTTTGCAGGTGAAGGCAATACATAAGCCAAAAGGAAAAAGATTTGGCTTTTTGTACCAAGAAGTTGTTGATGAGAAACTCCAAGAAGTGGCAATGGAAATGGAAGAGATTTTGCCAAACCTAAAATAACTCCCTTTATTTGCAGTATATATTAGCAACATTTTAAACACCGCATAACTATACCAGTTCAAATACATGTCAGACATTGAGTAAATAAGAAAGTACAAAAATAATGCAAATGAAATTATAACAGCAGCAGATCTTTTGAAATAAATCATTTACTTGACGATGATTCACATAACTAGAGTATATAATCCAATAAACAGAGCAAATTCTCTTGTTGGCACTTCTTAATTTAATTTAAAGTAAAAAAAAGAAAGTAATTCAATAAAAAAAAAAAAAAAAATGATCTCTCAAAAAATATGAAAAAGGGTAATTTGGGGGGGGGGAGTGGGGAAGATCAATAAGAATAAAAAAATTAGCACTCGTTGGATTTCTACTGTCTACAACAAAGTCGAAGAGTCCATCATTGGATACTCTCTTACAAGTCCATAAAATACGCTTCATAAATCAGGAATTAAGTATGTGAAAGGGCACATAAGTTTGTTGACATTGTCTAGGCATTACAAATAGGTCAAGGACTTGCATTGCATGGGAATCCTTGCAAGATTATTTCAGCAGATAAAATAAAGAAACTTAGAAAATCGCTTGCAAGGTTTATGATTGGATACATTTACGAACTTTCAGCATTTGGCTAGAGAATGCTAGGATTTCCATATGGTTATTCTCTAAGACCCTTTTTCAACTTATATATATCACTGATCTGAATGCTAATCCTATATTCCTATATATCAGGATCCACTCCAGGATGTCTCATCTGATTGAGCCACTTCATGTTACCTCTAATTTCCAACGCCAAAGATAAAGAAAATCCCCTTGTGAATTTATTTTCAAAAGATCAGGAAAAATAATCATCTATGCCTCACAGTAAAAATTTGGGAACATCACACAGGGATAACAAATTATCCATGTTAAATTAACTATAAAAACAGCATAAACTACCCAGTGGTAAACCCTATTTAACCCTAATCTGTCAAAACTAGAATGGTGGCTGGTTCAATTGTTTGATCGGTAAGATATCCTTTAACATGGCCATGGATTTGGGAATGTGTCATGTAATTAAATGCTTCACAGTATCAATGCCTTTTTTTTCCTCCAAATCAAAGTTGGATTCTTATGTATGGATAAAGAAGGCATTTATAGATTGAATTAAAAAGTTGCACAGATGCAGCACACCACATCATGTCACCCAGTATAGCTGGACAATGACAAGTATAACAACAATAATTCATCTAACTGCTTCCAAAAAAACATTATGACATCTAACAGTCTTACCAAATTCTCTACTAGGGTACTTAAAGTTTGATCCTTCATATGGTCAGCCCTTAACCACTGTTGAACATGATGCTTGAAAACCCTGCATATATGCAAGGTCTGGCTTCAGATAAAATGGGAGCAAATAATTCATTTCATATTGTTGCACAGATTGCTAAATCTGGGAATTTATTTTTTTTTTTGTTCAACTTCATCTTTGTCCAACTAGTTCTCCTTGCTTGATCACAAGCAGGATTGTATTCAAGATGAAGGTCAAGTATATCAAATTTCAGAATATTTTTAACCAGGATAATTTACTTAAATTTTTAATATTAAAACATTCTTCGACTAATTGGCTTTGAAGTAAGCATAACTTATTTTATTTCCAAATCTCCAGTCATAAACCCATTTAAGTGTGAATCAACTGCAACGGTATAGTTGCAAACTTGCAGAATAGCCTGCCCCGACACTAATTGACATTTATAAATGAATAACTAAATAATAAACATGTCTAAATGTCATGGCATTCTGCCTTTTTCAAGCCCTGTGTCTAATTATGCTATTATATTCAATCATTTTCATGTTATGCTTAAATAATCTTCGCCATGATATTAAGTCGCAACCGCATCATCAGGATTGTAAAAGTTTTTGAACCACGACAGCTTTTTTAGGCTGCAACAGCCACAAACCATCTGCATTGCACGCGAAAGAGGTTCTGTGCCTGTTACCATGATCTCATCCAGATCCTAGACTTAAAACCATGGTCTTTCACCACTGATAATTACATCAACAAAAGACATTAGTGGTACTGAGATAGTTACCATGAATTACCGGCAGCATTAGAGATAATGTCGTAAAGTATCCAAGGATGAATTTTTGCTTGCACTCCAAGACAAATTGCCTCAACTGAAGCAACAAGATGGATGGCTTCAAGTAGCTCTGTAACCATTTTTACTTTACTGCAGAATGAAAAATGAAATAGAATAATTCATTAAGCCATCGCAAATTCATGCAACACATAATATTGACAAGTGAAACCTAATATCCTCGACAGCCACAGGTGCAAATAACATGTAACACATAATACATGTTTCGTAATGGCTTGAAAAAATAAAAATATAAATTTTACAATGCAAACAAACATCAACAGACTAAAAATAGATACTTAAAAGATAGATATCAGGATCTAATTTGTATACAGCAATTGTTATATTGCAATCTGTAAACTACTGTCCTGAACTACAAGTCAAAATTATACACCATTTAAAGTACCAATGAAAGTAAAAGATGGTTGTTTCCTAAAGTAAATGTTAATGCCTTTCTGAGGAACGTGAGAGTCAAAGTTGATCCCAATATACTAGGAAAAACCAAATCCATATTAATAACCATTCAACCAAACCCAAAGCTTGTTTATATGATTACATAAAAAAATACAAAATACGCATTAAACTATACAAGACAGATATTTACCTTCCAGCACCAATTTCACCTTCCAGAACAAATAGTTTTTCAGACATAGCTGTCACAAAATAATCAAGTCATACAGTCAATGAACAGGCTTTCTGGTTTGCACAATTTCATTTGTGGTAACAAAATAACTTACACACTTTTTATTACTGATAAAAAAATAAAATTAAAAAAAAAATTAATAAAAAGATAACTAATGGCTACCAGAAAGCACAGGATGCGCTACATTGATTGCACTAGATTTCCCTGATGAAATTACCTGCAAAATTGAGAAGAAAACATGATTAGATACAGCAGAGCATCTACAATGTGAATAAAGATGAAACTGTAGTTCTTAAGAAAGAGAGAAATCTTTCGGTTTGAGGGATGAAATATAAACCATGATTTTCCCGTTCAGATCTTCAGAAGTACCCCTATAGATATGAGCATCAACCACTGCATTTATCTCATATTCCTCTGCAAAACGATAGAATAAATTAATTGCCTGATTTAAAATGGCAATGCCACGATTTAATTTAACAAATCATCCTCTTAATCTCGTAGAGTTTACAAGTCTTATAAAAAACATGTAATGTTACTATAGTAACACTATACCACAGCCCTTAATACCCTTAAGAAGGAAGACGTGGAAATCAGGTCAAGTTCAGTATGAAATCGAACTAAGTCAAATATAGGAGATAAAGTGGGTCGATTTGGGTCATATTCAGGTCTAATGTCAATTAGCTTAATAATGATGATAATCAATATGAGAAACATTAGCTTTCACATTGGTAGATTTTGGTTTGAATCTAAACTGGGCAATGTAATTATGGATAAAGTTCGCGTCTAGCATTTTATAGACATAATGCAACCTTTATAACAACCACCACTCCACAAGCAGAGTAAATCAAATATCCTCACTAGCTAAAAATATCACAATTGCATTGATCAGTATGACACACTTCCAATTTTCAATAAAGTTGAAGATCGTCATTCGTTATATGCATATAATATTTTATAAACACTACTGCTTTAACTTTGCAATTATGATTAGATACTGTGGAGTTCCTTCGCAACTAAATCATCAATAAGATCAATGCAGAAAATGCTTAAAAGTGGTTTTCCTTGCAACTATGAGCACACAAGTTAGTGCTCCATTCAAATTAGTAACAGATCTCTATAAACCAAGCAAAAGGACTTTCTTCCACACACTAGCAGAATACGCACTTCATCGTAAACAGGTGTGGCTGTATATTAGTCTTAGTCATAAATCTAATGAACACACAGCCCAAAGCTTTTGGAAAGCAACCTCACATAAGTATAGTCCTTCAATTGAATCTACACAAGGAGAAATCGGCCACATGTCCTAGAGACTCTATTACTCCACAAAATCCTATATAAATTCACTCATCAATTACATTTCGAGAGCAGCAACATGCACTCAAATCAAGCTACCTTTCTATTCCAGAAGAGAAGGACATCTTCATGATCCACATAAAATCCAAGTGGGTAACTTTTTACAAACATTTCACATACTCAAAAAATTTCATATACACTCAATCAACATCTAATATGACATTGGTGACTAAGATTTGAAATAAAATTCAAAGCTAAATTACTCGAGTAAAATTTGTATCTTCCTTCTAGATATTTGAAATAAAACTCTTCGGGCAATATAGAGTAGTCCGAGGAGAGCACAAGCAACATCAAGTGAATTACAGATGGCCACCAAATGAAACAAAGAAGAATTTGAGTTGTGCCAAGACACAACTGTGCAAGACTGCTAGGCAAGGCACAACGATACTATGTACCCTCTAGCCGCTTTTTTTTTTAAATGTATTATTTCATAGCATTTCTCCATAAAGATTTTTGTTTCTTGTTTTCACATGGCTGCAGTGGGATATATTATATAATAATAAAGTTTCTTTAGATTGTTTAAATCACACTATTGTAGATCTAGAATGCATTGGATAGAAAAAAAAAAATTACTTAGGATCCTGTAGATATGCATACAGAGTCAATCATTGGGTAATTTGTGTCAATAGTACTAAGGATGGGTGTGTAAGAATGGGTCTTATGATATTTGTGGAAATTTAAAGACGTTCGTGTCTCTTATGGATTTTTATGTAATCTTGGGAAGTAGAGAGAGTTCACGAGGTATGTCAATGTAATCATAGGAAGTTAGGATAGAGAGCGTTCCCAGGATTGTTGATGTAATCCTCATCACCTTAAAAGAGTTCCTGGGTTGGGTTTATGTGTTATAGGGATATTGTGTGGATTTATGAGGTATTGTTAATAATTGTTGACTATAAAACAGGATTGGTGGTTGTTTATCCGGACTTGTGAGTGAAAGGTTTTCCACTTATATTTTAAATGTGTGTCAATATTGTCATGTTTTCTCGTAAATTTGTACCCCAGATCAAAGATTGTTATAGTAGTACAACTATCTGTTGAGCGTGTCATTTTACAGAATACCGCATTCATTAGTCATGATACTATGTCAGACTGTTTATTTTCTTAAAAATTCAAGTACTTTTTAGAGGTCTTGCAGTAAAATGCATCAACAACCAATAACAAAAATCATACATAAATAATATTGCATCTGATAAAAATAATATAAGAAGGTTCCTGTTATAAAAGCAAATGTCATTAGATAAAGATAATTGATTCACCCGTAAGACATTTTTCTAGTTTCTGAACTTCAGCAGACACTGTGACTGTATGAAGAACTACCACCACATTTTTCTTCAAACCTGAAGACATTGACATGAGTAAATATAACAGTGAACACAAATTAATATGAAACATAGTCCAACAAGTGTAATGAGCTTGACCTTCCAAAATACCCTCTTGGCCAAATATCATGTCAGCAATTTGAGCTGGATGCGGTATCAGGAGGATTATAGCTGAAACGCCTGCAAGTAACAGTTAAAAGCAAGACAAGAATTTAATTTCACAATTTCTGTGATACTTCAATTTAAGCTATATTCGGTGTGAAACGAATCACATAATAATTTCAAGATTAATTTAAACTGTAATATCTTTTCTTTCATAGAAGAAGAGATTAAATATCAGAGAAAATTCAAGAATAGCCAAGAAAACCAATCTCAGCTAAGCACAGAGCAAACAGAAACTAAAACACCAAACAAAACTAATAAATTTTTAAACCAACACTTTCTTTCCACAAAGCCCTAGACAACCCCCCCCCCCCCCATAAAAAAAAAAAAATAAAAAAAAAAAAAAAAAAAAAACCTAAATAATAAGAGTATGTACATTGGTACATGACTCTCCAAACAGCTCTTCCCTCCCTCTCTACCATTATCTCTCTACACGATACCCACCCAAAATTGGTGATTGTCTCTTCATAAAAAATTATCCATGTATGGGCCAAAAACAAATCGGAGAGTCATGGTCCCTCATGGACACATGCCACACAATTAGAGATAAAGCTAACTATCCAAAAACAATTAAACAGTTCTTGGCCAAGAGTCTTCCTCAAGTGGCTCTCCATAAAAAGCTACTCAAAAGCCACCCAAGATCCCCATTATTGGGATAGAGTTGGCTCTTGATTCTCTCTCTCCTTGGAGAGTCGCTTGAAAAGTTACTAAGAGCCCCAATAAACATGCTCTAAGCCTAAGGAATTCTAACAAAAAGACATCCAGAGGAATTCCCCCACAATAGAGAGATAAGGACAATATTAAGAAGCTCTCCACCTCAAAGTTGAATGACACTTAAAGGGTAGAGCAAGAAATACATGCGATAATGCCCTCAAGCTAGCAAATCACTCATGAGCTTATGAACAATCTCAAGAAATGACAAGTGTTGCTCCAACCTATAAGAACATTCGTGTCCTTTTTGTTCATAACCATCATTCAACAACAAAAGAAATGATACAAAGAAGAGGGGTCAATATTCCACCAACAATCTAGGCAAAAGAAAAGATATCAAATCTTGCAATATCGTAAAAAGGGAAACTTTAAGAATATCTCCCATGTGTGTGGGAACAAAGAAAAGCTAAATACACCACTTTCTCCCACAAACCAACAAAAGTAGACTCTTAACCATGGAAAACCCTATCATTTTTCTCCAAACAAAGCTACCACAGAAGGCACAAATTGACCAAAAGTCAAAATACATCCTACCACCAAATTATGCCCCTTTTAGCCTTCTGAATTTCATATTTTGCTAAGCAGATGACCTAGAAGTAAAAGGATCAATGCAATTGATCCCAACAACCCAAATACAAATGAATTCCTCTCTTAACTAACAGGGTAGAAAGTACACAAATGAGATTATTATACCTAAGCTTCCACAAACTAGCTACCAAAGCAAAAGCTTTTACCTAATTCAGATCCTTTGCCTCCCAAAGGAAGGTAGAAAGAGAGTCAATTTAGATTTTTTTGTGTAACTGTAAAAAGAAATACTGAAATATGACCCTGAATAGTTTGCCAACCCAGGCTCTTTACTACAGAAGCTGATAGAGAAAGGATTCACAATAAGTTAACAAACTCACCCAACTCCTAATCATGAATAATCACGTACTCGACAAGACAGTTCAACTCCAAAAAGAAAAAAAAAAAAAACTTTGACGTCTAATTTGTATTAAACAACCACAACACGGCCCGTAATCAACACATCAATTCGGTTCCCGCGGTCGGGCGTTGAGACCATAGCATGACCATAATGCTTGAACATCAAGTACTCACATGCAAAATCAGGACAGAGAACAACAAGCTCCTTTTTTCCTGAGAATAGCACTATAAGAAGCTATTTCTTAAATTGGTTGTTCTTGGTCTTGTATAAGATATCATTGCAAATAAACTTGGAAATGAGTATTCCAAAGAAAATTTTAGGATTCTTTACAACATATGTCATACTAAAAGTGGACTTTTGACACCCCTTCTCACCAAAAAATACCACTAGTTACTCAAACTACTTCAATCTTGATACGATAGAATAAATATTACCATCCTAATCCATGTAATACAAAAAAGGTTAAACCAGCAACCTATTGTTGCCTACAGCTCAAACTAATCCAAGCCAATCACCTTGCCTCCATCCATCTAAAGGCAATATTGTAATAACTTCAACTGCATTCCACTTCAACACAACACATAAAGTAGCACTATTTCCTAGAATTTTTATTTATGAGGAAACCTTCATGACAAATATCTAGTTAAAAATAATCCATCTTATCAATCTTTTGAACTTCGTATTCAGATATGTATATTAAGACCTTGACAAGTAGGTTGTGAAAGGTAAGGACAATAGTTGATTTCTTAAAATTTTACCTTTAGTAGCCTCCACTGCATTTGCACATCTAGTTCCCCCAAGCCTCTTTGAAAATTCAACCATTAAGGGACTATCAAGCTGAAAGAAAAAAGAAAGACAGCACAAGATTAAATTGAGTAAAATTAACATTCCGACAAGCTACTCATATATGAAGTAATAAACTTTATCCAAAATGTAATCAAATTATTACTTTGCTCTAGTTTCAGTCACCACATTCTTCCATTTAACTACAATACGAAATTGGCATAATTTAACCTACAACTATAATCATATCATTCAACTAGACCCTAAACCTATGAACATTAAAATTTTGGGAAAATAAGCTAATTAAGAAAGTGAGTATTTTGTTTAGAATATAAAGCTGCAAACGACCATATTTTATGTTTTTTTTTTTTATAATTGTAACAAAATCTTTATAATATGGGGTGTAAGAATGATGTATATCTATCGCTGGACCAAAAGTTCTTGCAAGTGTTAGTCAAGGTCTCTGCTTATTCAGATCTTCATCTTGGCAATATAAGCTAGCAATCTTATATTAGCCTGTAAAAAAGGAGACAACATGATATATGAACAGTAGAATGAAGAAAAGTTTTCACATTGACTACAGGGGAGAATCAAGTAGGTGTTACTCATCCAAGTGGTCACTGACATGGTGATAGAGTTGATAAAGACATGTTCAATCTTCAAATGACATGGGCATCCATTATTATTCCTTAGCCTATGAATTTGACACATTTATGCCTAATAGCAATAGATAAAATTAAAAAGTGTTACCAACCAATAGCTTCAAAGGAGCAGCCAAAAGGGAAACAAAACAATGTCTATTGTGGCACGGTTAATATACATGGATAGAAGGATACATATGGACTACAATCTTAACAATTAACATATTTTCTATGGACAAAATATTTTTTTCAGAATCCTTGTAAAGTTATTTCTTTATCAAACCATAGTCGAAATTTTTTAGAGCTTGTCTTATGAAACACTAACACCAAGAAATACAAGCAACGTAGGCCTCGAAAGCTAGTCACAGAACATCAAAGTATCGAACCTCAAGCTAGCTTTTCATTCAATTTTTAAATCCAGCAAAAGCATCAAGCTCCTGCACTTCAATTATACTCCCTCCATATTTTTATTTTTGTTAGTTCTTCTTGTTTAAATCTTGTCTTTATACACATTTTGAAAGAATATTCTAATTATTCCCAACACATATGATAAACCATAGTCAAGGTGGGTCTTGTTTGATTCGTCTAAATGAATGTTATAAGAATAGCAAGTTTTTATAATTTTTACAATACACACTTAAAGATATTAATAGTCAATGGTCAAAGATCTGCATTAACAAACATGCATGGCAAAACACGAAGAACAACAAAAAAAACACAGATGGAGTACTACAATACATTATTTGAAAACTTTACCATACTTAACACGGATGACAATGGGCAAGCTTTCAATCAACACCACAATTAACATTTTGTAGAGCTACATCACATTACAAAAACTGAGCAGCCGACAACTAGAACCGCACCAAAGGCGATCGATCAATACCATAACATTAATGAATAATTTGTCAATTTACGCGCACTATCAAGCACTGCAATTTTAAGATACATGAATTTAAAAAAATTTAAAACTAAAATTAAACACAACCTGAGAATCAAAAGCTTGGACAGCATAACCAGAGCCAACAAGTGAAGCAGCCAAATCCAAACTTATATCATCAAATCCCACAAAACCCACCACATTTTTGGACGAACCCATTTAATTGTCTAAATTTCTCCTGCAATAATATAAGTAATTAATTAGATTGTAATATGATCAATTGTTCGAAATGCGGCAAAAATTTCATATACGATCAGAATTAAAAACCTTATAATTATTCATTAGCAAAAAAAAAATAAAAAAAAATTAAAAAAAAAGAACGAATTATTGAAATGATTAAGTTTAATCTTCTTGAAAAAACATGATTCAAAAATCAAATAACTAAATTATACAATAGGGAATTTGATTTCAAGAATGGAAACTACTTAAATTAACACAAATAAATGATCAATATAACTGAATTTGTAACTTACCCAGAAACAAAATTGAAAAAAGGGCGAAAAGAGTATTAAGCTTGGAGCTGATCAGTCCGAAAAATGGAGTGAAAGTCAAACCAAGGTGAAAAACAAAAGACAGAATTTCTGAATTTTTTAGTGCATGCAATAATATAAAATGACTTATTGTATTTGGTTTTATTTAGAAACTAAATACATGATTGTGATGATATTAATACATGATTATGATGATGATGTGGAAAAGTGTCAGCTGAGCCAGCACATGTTTAGCTAGTTGATGCCTTCAAGTTTCCAAATTAAGCATCCGTGTAGCTGATTCACCTCTATCCAGTTTTGATCCAAAATCCTTGGGGTGTTTGGTAAGGAGACGTTTGTAGCTGTTCACCTCTATTATTATCATTAATAGCATTATTATTATTATTATCGCATTATTATTATTATTATTATTTATTATTATTATTATTATTAGTAGTAGTAGTATTACTATTATTATTATTAGTAGTAGTATTACTATTATTATTATTATTATTATTATTATTAATATTATTAATAATAATAATAATAATAATATTATTATTATAATTATTATTACTATTATTACTATTATAATTAATGCATTATTTTATTATTATTATTATTATTTGATTTTTTTTAGATTTTTACTCTTTTTATAACATTAGAAAATGTGGTTAAATAATATAAAATATTAATTATTATTATTAAATATTAGTTATTATTATCAATTAATATTGTATATTAATTATTATTATTATTAAATATTAATTATTATTATATATAAATATTAGTTATTATTATTAAATATTAATTATTATTATTATTATTATTATTTTATTAAATATTAATTATTATTTTTAAGTAGAGCAGAGTAGGGCAGAGCAGACAGAGCAGGTATCAGCATAGCAGAGCAGAACAACTCAAAAGAGCAGAGCCTACATAGTAAGAAATAAAGGATAGACCATTGATGGATGGGATAAGAACAAATACGGAGTACTCACTACATTTTATGATAATTGCAAACTTTTTTTACATTTGTTTCATACTCCATCCTGAATAATTGACTCGTTTGGCTTATTTTCACAATCCATACACTAAATAGGTATTAATATAAAGTTTCATAATGTCTAATTATTTTATTAATATTTCATTATATACTTGTATGTCTAAGGTCAAACTAATACATTTTAACTGTGTCAATTATTCAAGAACAAAGAAAATAATAATTGAACACTTCCTTATGTGGTAAGGGCCCACTATTATTTTATTGTTTCTCTCCCCCACCAATTCCACTATTATATTACTCCGTATTTTTCTTAAAAGGGTATCCCTTAAACATTGCTAAATTAATTTAAATACCATATATAGCCATGTGGGCCACAACTTTATTCTCACACAATTATTTTAGGTCCAACCACTTTTTTCTATCATCAATTTCATTCAGCTAAAACTTTAAAAAGTGAAATATGAGTATGGAGCAAATAATTAGGGACAAAAGGAGTAATACTTTAGTATTTCTCTTTCTTACAGGCCTACAAAATAATAAAAAGTAGGATATTTTTTATTTTAACACCTGACAAAAATCCAAAAATGGGTTTTAATACCCCAAAAAAAATGTATTTTAACACCAGACAAATGTTACAAAAATGGTTTTTACCACCACTTAACGGTCTCCGTCCAACAATTTCGTCAAGTGGGGTCCACAGTGACACGTGTCACCATTTTACTTGTTTTCAAAAAAATAAAAAATTTAAAAAAGAGAGAAAAAAATTAAAAATAAATAAAAAGAAAAAATAAAAAATAAAAACTCAAACAACCAGCAGGCAGCCACCAACGGTGGCCCTTCTCCCCAGCCAACTCCCGAACCACCCCCTCCCAGCCCCCCGCCACCGAGTTTTGCCACCGAACCAGCCCTAACACCGGAAATCGGCGTACCCTCGCTTCCCAAATAACCAAAACCGATTCCTCCCCCCTTCCCGCAACCCAGAAATCAGGAACCGCCACCAACGTTGAACCATTCCCCCACCTTCGAAATCGGTCCCCACAAGTACAATTTTGGGGCTAGGTTGGGGTGGGCTTCGGGATCCGGTGAAGTTTGGGTGCTGAAGGTGAGGTTGGGTATCGGGTTAGTGGTTTAGGTGGGGTTGGCCGTTTCCGATTCCGGGTGGTGGGGTTGGCCGTTTCCGCAACCTTCCTTCCCCAAAAACGGCGACGAATTCGGCCATTAATGGCTGAAATCGGCCGGTTTTGGGGCTGAGTGGCCTTAACCGGCCGATTTCGGCCATCAATGGCCGAATTCGTGGTCGTTCTTGGAGCAACAGCCATAAAATCAGAGCACATAAAAAATCAGAGCAAATCGAAATTCGTGGCTGGTGATGGCGGTTGTTTGGGGTAAAAATACCCTAAACACGTGGCCCAATGGCCTAGTGACACGTGGCATCCAGCCGTTGGTCAGCAGGGCTCCAATCCTCTGCTGACACGTGTCCTCTAAACCCTAAAAGGGAAACCATCCCTTCCCCACTATAAATAGTGGAAGGACCCTCATTAATGGGGGGCTGGAACATTTGTTGTTCACATTGAATACTCCTCAAAAAGAAAAACACTTACCCCGAGCAATATTAATTGCAGAATTCTCCCATTACGCGAGAAGTAACTTCTACATTACGTGCATTTTACCTCCCGTATCTTTACTAACTTGATCGTCGGAGGCGGAGCTCCTACCCCCAGGAGTCTTCGTGATTTTGCAGGCACAGGCGTCGAAGGGCATTCTTGGAATTGTAACTTTCCCGCAGGACACATCAAAAAACCCCGAAACATTTGGCGCCGTCTGTGGGGAGAGTACTTCTAAGATGACTTCTGATACTGTGTCACCGAATCAGGGCAAACGGCCTGTGGTCGAGCCTGAGGTCCAGATGGACCATGAAAGTGGCGACGAAATTGAAACATATGTGGCCCCGGATGGGTCTTTCAGAACGAAGCACCCTCGTGCTAAAGATAGAAGAGAACGGGAAATCAGCCAAGCTGCTCCCAGCAACCCAGCCGGGCAACCGGCTGGAATTGCCCAAACGGTGGAGGGCTCAGCCCCCGTTACAAGAAACGAACTCATGTCTTTCATGAATAGTTTCAAGGGTGAGATCAAGAGCCTCATCCGGTCAGCTACTCCAAAGAAGGGTCAGCCGGCCAAGAAGCCTTCTGGAAAGAAGGCGGTCAAAGAACGAGTTCCTACCCCTCATCCCAAGCCAAAGGAGGGGGAGGGCTTAAGGTTTGATCCAAGCAGACTCCGTTTTCCTCAAGGGGAGCTGCGAAAGGCCATCCGGCACGTACAGCCGGATGGCTCCAAGAAAACATTCTCAGACGCCCGCACATTTCTCCAAGAGAAGCGAGGTCAGGCGTCTGCGTCGGCCTCAACGTCGACCTTCCCGGACAGTTTCCATGACGTCTCACACAGGCGTACGGGAACGAACCTTGGGAGCCAGACGGGCGAAGCTTCTGCCCGGTCTGGACCCAAAGTGATCCAGCCTGGCCTATTCGGCACACCGAATGGGTTAGGTGGATCCCCTTTTATGTCACCGGGTCTTTTCGGTGGGCAAGCGCAGCAGCCGTTCCAACCCACGGACTGGCAGCTGCGCCTGCTAAATTTGGGGGAACAGCCAACGGCGTTCTCACCAGAGATAACCCAGGCGGCACAGCCGCCTAAGATCAAGAATGTTTTGGTGGGGGCCTATGACGGCACCACCAACCCAGAAGACCATCTAATGGCCTACTCTAACCTCATGTACCTCCAGGGGTTAGATGATGCCGTCTGGTGTCGATGCTTCCCGGCTACCCTCAAGGGCATAGCCCAACGGTGGTTTGGTAACCTACCAGCCGGTTGCATCAATAGCTTTCGAACTTTGGCGTACTTGTTTACGTCAAATTTCTCAATGAATATTCCTGCCAAAAAGACTAGCCTCGACCTAGGGGCAATACAGCAGGGCGACCGGGAGGGCCTCCGGTCGTACGTCAGACGGTTCAATCTGATGAGAATTCAGATTCCAGGACTATCAGACGAAGTGGCCTATACAGACTTCTTTCGAGGTCTGAAGGATGGGTCGACTTTTAAGTTTGACCTCGTCCGGAAGAGGGTTGCTACCCTCCAAGAGGCATTAATTGAAGCTGAAGCCTATATACAGGCGACGGAGCTTTGTGCTGTTAAGCAGCCGTCAGATTCTAAAAAGTCTGATAAAAAAGAGAGCCGGCAACAGCATCAGCCGGCAAGAAAGGAAGAAAAGAGAAAAGGGGTCTGGGCAGCTGACCGATCAGGACAGCCGGCCCAGAAGATCAGGCGGAAGTCAGAACCATATGTACCCAAATACGAGTTCACAAAAGATTGCTCCACCATCCTCCTGGAAATCAAAGACCGGATGTCTCTCGACAAACCGGCTGAAATGAAAAGCCCCGTGAATAAACGGGACAATAGCAAGTATTGCCAATACCACGAGGATGTTGGCCACGACACCAATGGCTGCTATAGCCTCAGGCGGCTATTGGACCGTCTGGCAGATGAGGGGGCCCTAAAATCCTACCTACCCAAGGCTAAGGGTAATACCCAGGCCAAGAAAGGGCAGGCGGCAAAAACCGGCCCAGTAAACTCCGAGACGGATGAAGAGACCATCTTCACCATAGCAGGCGGTTTCGCCGGAGGAGGTCCCACCATCCGGGGCACCAAAGACAACATCAGGAAGCTGGTCAACTCAGTGGATGAGGGCCAGGCGTCGAAAGACATCTTCCCTGAGGTCCTTAATTCTGAAAAGGACCGGGGCAAGGTGAGGCGGCCTCATGATGACCCCATCGTCATCGAATGCAAGGTTGCCAACCAGAAGGTTGGCCGGATCCTAATAGACACCGGGAGCTCGTCTGACCTAATCAGTTATCAGTGCTTGACCAAGCTCAAGTACACATCCGGTAACATGCACCAGGCTCCTCACCCACTAGTCGGTTTTGGGGGTGGAGTAGTGCATCCGGTCGGAAGCATAGATCTTCCGATCCGGCTGGGTGAAAAGGGGCAAGGACGCCACATGATAGTCAAGTTTTTAGTTGTGGAGGAGCTGTCCGCCTACAACATGATATTTGGCCATCCTACCCTCAACGCATCTAAGGCTGTCATCATCCCGTCCCTCATGTTGGTCAAATTTCAAAAGGATGATGGTACAGTCGGTGCCCTAAGCGGGGACCAGAAGACGGCAAGAGAGTGCTATCTCTCTGACGTCAAGACAACTATGGGTGCAGCCGGCCAGGGCGAGCCCATAGATATTGATAACTGCGACCCAGCAGTCCCG